TTTACCGGCTGAACTTATCTATATGGAGATATAGCATCGCCATAGTAACAAGCAAACAATGGTCAGATATATTGAACAAATAAACCGAGAATAATCCAATTATATAATTCGATCAACTGTCTCCTTAATTTGAATTGTTAATAGGAATAAGAGCGACAAAAGCAGCGTTAGAGAAGCAGGAAATTAATTAATTAATTGCCAGAATTTATGTAGCAATTAATCAAAGAATTAGATTTTTGTTTTGACAACTTTTATGTTATCTAATTAAATATACAGGGTGATCATTCACACATTATCTAGTACTTCGCAAAACGTATCAAAGGTCCAGAGAATCGCAATTTTTTTAAAACAAACACTTGGAACTTCCTAAGGTTCCAATAAAAAAGACCCGTAATCTGGCATATACAGGGTGTCCAGTGATCAAATGGCCATATCTCACGAGCGTGTTTCTTGGTCAATTTTACGGCAAAAATGCCTCTATACTGTTTTGCAAAACTACTCAACTGTAAAGGAGTTATGGGCAAAGTTTTCAGATCAAGAATATGCCGAGATTCATGTTATTTATGGATTATGTGGCGTAAATGCAAGAGAAGACTAGGGCCAGTCTTCTCTTGCATTTATGACGGCAGATTCAGGGCATTTTCCTAAAATTACCGCTGAATGTTCCGTAGGTACAGCCAGAACTTGATGAGGAAGCGATTGCTAACATAACGGAAAAAGTTCTACTAGCGAACCCACAGTTTACAACTTTAACAACAGTTTTGTGGACAAACGGGCACTTGAAAACCTCTGAAAACGCACTATAAAGACAGATTTTCGGGGAATTTTTGCTGTGGTGTTCTTCATAATCTTTTTATTGGATTATTCGAATTTCAGGAACGATTAACATTAACCTGATCTAAAAATCAAATGAATGATTGGAAAAAAGGCAACATGTTTTGCTCAAATTGGGCGTTAATTCATTGATTTCAAGCCGCTCAAGCTGCAGATTTTCTTTTCCACGGCAGCCTAAAAGCATAAAAACTCCCCAGTTTCTGCTCTTAGAAAATCAAAATCATCCTTAGGACCAGTCAGGACTTTTCAACTGTGTTAATTTACGATTTTTTAAAATCTTCCCTTCCTGTACATTCTGTCATTTTCAATGGATTCAATTCATTCCAATGTACATGATGGGCGAGTTTTAAAAAATCATAACTGCAGTTGAAAATACCTAAGGATCATTTAAATTTTCTTACCATGCTTGAAACTGTTGTGCTTTTCGGTCTTTTAGCCGTCGTTTCTTTCATCAGACGTTTTGCAAGGGGGGGTGACTTGAATCTTCAGAGGTATGTTTGCACAAACCCGAAAAATCTCATCAGTTTCAAAGAAATAGCCCCAAAAGCCTCACTGGTAGTGGGAATTAAATTACCTTGGACGTTTTGTCTATTAGTTCTTGTCTCTCGATGACCATCCATATCCCAAAATTCCATAATTCCTTATGTAGAACTCATGTTCAACGAAAAGTGTTAAGGCGATTTTCCAGGCGCTTCTCAACCGGCAAATTGCCTCATTTTGAATGTTAGGTATTAAGATGTAATGAACGCACTTCTTCACCAAAAAAACCACAAGTGAAATCTGGAGGAAGATTCCTCAAGCTCTCGTGCGGTCTAACAAAAGAACCACGAAACGATCATTTGGCGTACCTAAATTGTGTGCTCAGAAATTATATCGATAAAATAAAAATTTGATTTATTCCCCCCTGCCCTCTTTGTTTAACAGTTGCTTAGCGACCAATCTACCATTAAGCTGGAGGGAGCTTAACGGCTTTTAAGCTCAAAATACTCAACATTTTGTATACTCGGCAAACTTATTTGTGCTTTTGTATCTTAATTTCTTCATTTAATTATTAGGCGTCTAGGAGTAGATATATACATATATATATTTTATTAGCTCTTTTTGCTGTTTTTATTTTTTTGTAGTTTATGCTCAAAGGAAACTTTTTCCGCCACTTTTCAGCCTCATTTGAGATGATTGTAAGAGCGTCGTTTTAATAACGTGGAAATACCAAATAAGAACAACAGAGATAACAAAACTATGACAAAATGTCCAATTAAAATCTTCTTATCGGGTTTGCTTCCGATTGGTTAGCTTTAATGGTAAGTGGCAGGCATTTAATGGGGGTTGGAAGGATAAATCAACCCTTGGCCACTTTATTGATCAAACAAACCCGCTGTCATCGATGCATAAAAATATTGTAAATCTAGATGGTGGTCGCACGCGATTAGAACATTAACTAACCGAACATGTGCGCTTTTTATTCGGAACTGATTTATTTGAAAAAAATACACTCAGGATAACAAGAGGGGAAGAATTAAAATTGTCTTTGAGAAATTGGTTTTTCGGGTATTTACTTGATTTTTTAATTAAGTATAAATAATATAAAAAAACACTGTTTGAATACAAAACAGCTAATATCTAGAAACCGTCGGTTTCCAGCTTTGATGTTACAGAGACTTTCTTGTAAGGGTTCTAATTCTCCATCTAGTCGATATGTATATAGGGTGTCCCATTTGAATAACCCAGAAATTTAAGGACAAAGTTTTAAAACGCCAGTCTTTGAGCATCTCTTATAAATTTCCATAGAAATTGAATATGCAATCAATAGCTTGTTGAATCAAAAAGTCTACAAAGCCCGTGTCCCATGCATCCTTTTATACGATGGTACGATGATACGAAAGTGTTTCTATTGGTTGGAGATCTGTCAATTCGTCCGCCGTCGTACGAACTGACAGATTTCCAACCAATAGTTGGAGATCTGTCGTAAGAACTGACAGATCTCCAACCAATAGAAACACTTTCGTATCATCGTACCATCGTACAAACTGATGCATGGGACACTGCCTTATATAAGTGTTGCCGCAAAATATACAGGGTGGATAATTGCCGATTTTTTCCGGAAAAAGGAAAGTCCTAAGGATCATTTGCATTTTCTTATCATGTTTGAAACTGGTGCTTTCGGGCTTTTGAGTCATCGTGGAAAAGACTCTAAAAATGATTTAACTGAGTGGTACTTTGGTACTTTTTCCCAATGAGATTTAATTTCTTGTGCGAATAAGTGGTTTTCTATTGGTGTTAATATGCAGAAACCGGGCATAACTAGATGAATAAGCGACCCAATCATATGACATGAACATGATTCAAAACAAATGTCCACCTGTTGAAGTCAATGCTCCTCTTGTTGACAAATAATCATCAACATGAAAAATTAAATAGAATTGAAGAAAATGACGCAACTGTACCTGAAGTGGATCAAACTCTGATTGAACCAACAATAATAATAATAGTAATAATAATAACAAAGGCTGGATTTTTCACTGTTTAAAGTTTCACTCATTGAAGAAACTAGGGCAAAAATTGAAACAAAAAACTCAATGAAGATCAACTTCAAGCCGAATGAAGCCAGTGAGAGTTTGGCAATGATCCCAAAGGAAATTTAAACATATTGTGGTGTTGTTATGTCTAGTTGAAAACATACTTAAGTGTACTAAACAGTGGGACTCACTTAGAATGGCAGCCCAATCAGCTGTTGAACCATCCATTTTAACCAAAGGCACTAAAAGTAATCGAACATTTTCGTCCGCTGCACTGGCTCTTCAATTGAAGCACGATTTCCACATTTTCACCAAACTTTTAAACTTTTCTTCTTGCAACCTGTTTTCCACGTTCTTTGACAGCTGCTACTTCATTCACGATTCACGCAGGCTTGACTTAATGTGACAGAATAATTATTCAATTATTGTTTTTTTACAATCTCACATTTAGTTTTATATTGATTTTTACTCAACTGATTAACAAACATCTATAATTTTAACTAAGGGAATTTCCAAGAAATTACGCCAGTTGATACTGTGTATCCTTTTCTAAACGATAATGCGTGTAAAGTGCTCGTGAGCGTGACATAACTGCGCATTTAGCGCGTAAATGCTAAGTTATCAAGGTTTTGATACGATTTTCTCTGGATTTGCCATAACTTAACTTTATCAAAAGAGACTTTTGTGGCGTTCAATTGAAACTGGTGAGTTTTTTCGGCTCTGGGCTCTTTCTGCAAGTTGCTGGTTCGTACCCAGTACGGCCCAAAAGCCCGAAAAACTCAAAAGTTTCAACGCACAGATAAAGTCAAGTTGAGTTAATTAGAGCAACCCTACTTAAGCAAAATGGGGCCCCAACTTCCGGGGCTTAATGCCGCGGCAATAGACGGAATTTTTTTGCTTAGTTCTATTTAAAAAAATTCCAATTTTAAATCGCTTCGTAAATAAGCAGGAACCAGCTGAAAACATAAGAAAAAAAGCAAAGCTGAAAGTGCTTGTTGAGCAGGATTCGATTTAGAGCCATAAAAAAGGACTGGTATACCGCCGTTGACTTCTATTTCTTTCTACGCAAAGCAAATAGTTGGCGACCAAAGATGCCAGCACTAGCCCCAGCAGCCAGCTCGCCGTTTTAGTTCCTACTGCTCGGCAACCAGTAAAACAAATTATCGAAAAATAACAAGAACCACCGCAAGTAGACTATAATTTGGGCTCAAAACCCGGCAAAAAATGCAAAAATTAATCAGCAGTATCTAGATCGGGCAATGAAAGTGTAGACTATACAAAGTCATTGATAATACCTAATTTCATTCATGCATTTCGACGTTATTGATCCAAACAAACATCTGACATTTCTTTGAGGAAATCTAGCAACCGATGACCTACTCCACTAGCCACTAGCCCGAGTGTTTACAAATTTGTGTAGACATGGCCGACTGTTCTTGCCAGCGAGATTCAGAAATGTTCGGCGAAATGATCGTGTAAAAGCCAAGTGAAATGGCTGATAATGAGGGAAATTGCCAGTGCAGTGACCGATTTAGTGAAACAGTGAGACCAGGACGTTAAACTGTCTGTGTGCTTTAAGTGGGCTCGCAAACGTAAGTCCTAAACAAGTAAACAAATGAGTGGCAATCTCTGTTCATTGATTAAAATACCCACCTAATTATTGCAACAGGTATTGTGCTTGTTTCATTTAAATGAACGTCCATTTGCGTTCAATCGCCCGCACGACCACTGTTTGGGTTGCCTTTGATTTTTCGCATACTCAAATTACAACATTGGAGAATAATATAAACAAACATGGTTATTAGGTTAAGTGAGTTTTGCAATAATGTTTCCCTGCTAGTTGCTCACGTTGTCGCTCTCTTGATGTTGAGACTGTGGTGAATTAAACGAGTAAATTTTCATTAGAGCTTCCGCTATCAGTATGGAGCCAGAGTCGTATGACTCGAAGGAACAACCCCACCTTACCATACCAGTACCCAAGAAGGAGCGGAAATTCACTGCTTTGGATCTAACAGATCAGTCATTGACCACCAACCCTCAGCCCGTTTTGGTGGTGCAAAGCCCCAAAACTCCCACCCTATCCAGAAAACTGAAAGCCGTCAGTTTGGACAGTGAGCCCCAACCCCAGAGCAATACTTTGGAGGTGAGTACTATGGTTGTATCTACAGAGTGGAAGGGTTTAGAACGGAAAATTCGATTTAAAACCGTCGTATGCCCCAACCGCCGTTGTGAAGTTATCAAACTTCAAATTTATATTTAAAGCGCATTTGTTCGCATCGGACGAACAGAGGAAATGAAAATGAATCATTGTAGGTACCTATACATACGTACGACTCGGGCGGTTATTCCTTTAAGATGAGTCCTGATTGTCTTTAAAACCCCACTAATTTGCACTTAAATGTTGACAGCAAACGTCAACAAGTTTCAGCCGAAAAAATCGCGTTTTTTGTATCCGAAAATCACTCTAACGCCCGGAAAAATACAACAAAACGATGGACGAACCGTTATTATTCGAGAAACTCAACAATTTCCCCCACAAAAATGCCAAAATCCCGGACGTTTTAAATTTGTTTGCAGAGCAATGGCTCACAGTTCATTATCAAACAATGGTCTAAAGGTATAAATCTTCAACTCCTTTAAGATAAGCACGCATATGTTCACATTCGACAAACAGAACGAATGAAAATCTGTATACTTACATACTTATGATTCGGGCGGCTTTTTTCATTTAATTTGAGTTCAGATTTTGTTTGATACATCAAATTTGCACTACAAAGTTACAGTGATCATTTTACAGCACACGTCAAACAGTTCCAGTCGAAAAAATGCGATTTTTACCGAAAATCTCACTACCGACAGGAAGAATATCGTCAAACGATGGAGAAAACCTTATTATTTCAGAAAATCCACAGTTTTCCGCATAAAAATGCCAACATCCCGGTTGTTTTTTTAAGTTTTCATGAAACAATAGACCAAAGGTACCTATATTTAACTCTTTTAACATAAGCACGCATATGTTCGCATTGGTCGAACGGAACAAACAAAAATTAATAGTTGTCTTATTTTAATTGAGATAAAAAATAGTAAAACAGATGTCAGTACCGAAAACCATTATTTTTCAGGTTTTTCGAGATGTATTCTCAATGCCAAACACGCCGAAGAAACAAATCAAACAAAAACTGTCGTGCGACTTCAATGATGGCCCGCCGAAAAGCACGCTGGCGCCCAGTTTTAGCTCCAACTTGAAAAAGTTCGCGTCGAACAACAGCATCAGTGGCTCGCAAACCCTGAAGACTTTGCCCGAGGTGAACGCATTGCAAGATTTTTCCGATTGCCCCAATCCAGAACCGCAGAAAGTTCGCACTAAAGGACTGTTGGAACGACGCGGTTCTAATGCCAGTTTGACGATTGATTTGGGTTCCACCCAAAACATTGGCGAAGTGAAACCAGTGCCATTCAATAGACTGAATACGGCCAAAAGTGTGTCGAACTTGTATCTGAGCTCACTAGCTGGGGGAGATAACTGTGCCTGTGTGAAGCGGGCTGTGGAAGTTACCACTAAGGTAACCTGGGGATTTATTCCCAACTGGATTTTTAATAATAAAGTGGCTTTTGTGCTTTTCCCCATTCACTAGGTCAGTAATGAGAGGCGCAAGTCCCAAGAGGCGTGCGGCAATTGCACGATATACGAGTCGGAGTTGAAAATGAGTACCTGTAAAGCACGATGCCAAAACCTGAAGAGGTGCCACGGATGTCCAAAGTCGCGTCGAAAGTCCCTTTCCAATGAAAACCTCTATGTGCCACCATGCGGGTTTTGCGAGCTGGAAAGCAAAGAATGCGCCGAATTAAGGACCTGCAAAGGTCCAATAAAACAGTGATAAAAATCAAACAAACCCGATAACAAGGTTTCGAACATTTCAGGCAGCAATCGCAAGGCAGTGTTCCCTAGACAGCCGGACTTGGACTCATCGCAACTACTTTCCGATGACTTCAAGTTGCATTTACAGAACATCCAGTATCTTCAAACTGCTGGCAAACCAATGTCGGTTGAAGAGCTGAGGCAGTCATGTGATGTAAGCTGTTTGATTCATTCACTTAGCAGGTGAAAACACGCGAGCCTTTGCAGATGACCAGAATACCAAAGATGCAGCAAGAGTTCTGGGAAGTGCCGTTGAACCTGCAGGAAAAATGCTACGTTTCGGGCAGTCAAAGCAAAAACCGATATCGAGGCGTGTTGCCCAATGAACATAGCCGGGTGCTGCTTCCAAATAGCGGCGGATATATTCATGCCAACTACATAAAGGTAAAGTTTATCATCACCAATGTGCCAACATTCACTGGTAGTTCAAAAAATTGTCACATTATTTGAAAACCACCCGGTGGAAAATGTGGAAAATAATACGGTTTTGTACTTTAGGGCCCAGATTACACTGAAACAGCTTACATAGCCACTCAAGGGCCGTTGCAGCACACTTGCATAGACTTCTGGGAAATGGTGTGGCACTCACAGGTAACTATGAAATGTTTTTCCCATACAATTTCAATTAATCTGGTTGTTTTCAGTGCAAATGCATAGTAATGTTGACCGGTTTGGTAGAAAAAGCCCGCAACAAATGCGAGCTTTACTTTCCATTGGGCAAAAAGTCCAGCCTAAAGGAGAAAACCTTCTTTTACGTAAAAACATCCAAAGTGCGCGACAAATTCACCTTCGACTGTTCGAGTAATTCTAATGGCTTTGATGTCGAAACCTATGAATTCGAGGAGAAAAACGAAGTCATATTCGGCAAATATCGCATAACTTACGTGAAACAGCGAGAGCTGGACGACTGCCAAATCAGGCAATTACAGCTGAGGAAGACCGATCTCAATGTGGAGCCGAGAGTGATTTTTCATTATTGGCTTGCTAATTGGCCGGACCATCAGAAGACCAGTTCTGAACAAGTCTTGAAAACCGCGGTCGATGTTTTGGACTGTTTGGATGGCATTAAAGTCGACATATCAGGTATGGCCGAAAAAACAAACATTTTTCCTTCACACGGGGTTGGTTGAGCTTTTTTGCCATCAATTTTTATGCAATTGGAAAAAGTGGCAATTTGACTGCATACTATTAAAGACCGTTGGTTTTGCACAAAAAATCACTCTTAGTCCAAAGTGAGCCGTTCTAGAGAAATGTACAACAATAAATAATTAACCGTTGAAGAAATGAATTTAATTAAAGTATTTTCAATCTTTTGCAGAATCTCTAAGTACCAAATCGAAGGAACACGAAGTACAACATTTTGATCTCAAAGGCCCGGAATCACCGGACAAGAATACGGACGCCGAGTGCAGCAGCAATGAAACGAATTATTCGAGTAACCCTAGTCAAAGCAGAGACACTGGGAAGCCGAATTTCAGTTTTGACTTGTTTAGCAGTGAAAATGGCACAACAGTCGCACACAATGTTACCACAGAGTGTCACAAGGAGACGCAATCCGCCACCACGTTTACTTTTACTGTGAATTGTAATAGTATTAATCAGCATTTTACCTCCGAGTCCATGCAGTGCGAAGGAGCCCAATCGAACTGTGCGTTCAGCTTCAGTGAGGTGAAGATGAGTGATAGTGAGTCAACATTTCAGGAATCTGTGGGTGCAAAGCAACGAGAGCGAAGTAAAATCGCCTCAAAGCAAATGAAGACTAAGAAAAGTTCGGTGTCGGATTTTAACAAGGAAGTGTTGACAAACCGATGCAGCTTAGATTCGAAGCTGCAGCATTTGAATAAAATGGCAGATTTCAAGTCGCATTTTAAGCCGGACGTTTGCATGAAGGCCTTAAAGACGAAACACGTGGGCTTTGAGCGGAAAAGATCTGCAGAAAATATTCGATTGCCCTTAATATGCCATTGTAGCGCCGGTATAGGCCGGACCGGTTGTTTTCTGGCCATATTAAACGGTATTCAACAGCTGCGAATGAACAACTCTGTAGATGTACTAGCAATATTGTGTTCATTAAGACTAAATAGGGGCGGTATGGTGCAAACGGCCGAACAATACGAATTGATTCACAGAGTATTGAGCCTTTACAGTAAATCGATGTGAGATTAGTGATAAATAATTTTCATATTTGTTGATTTTTGTCATCAGTAGTTGTACATATATTTTTATGATAGTTTATTATTAATTAAGCCATTCGACGTTTGCTCTTTAGTTGAACTAACAGCATTTCGCCGCAAATGAAACCTGCTGTAATTGACCTTTCTGTGGCTCTGTTTAATACATTAACAATATGACAATTACCTATCCAAAGTTATTGGGGATGTGCTCAATTCAGAAAGTAATAAATTATTTTGTTTCCTATTCAATAGAATTTATTAAATATTGTCCAATTTTTAAATGTTTATTGAACTTTGCCTGTGCCCCATGCATCTGTTTATACGATGGTACGATGTCGAAAGTGTTTCTATTGGTTGGAGATCTGTCAATTCGTCCGTCGTCGTACGAACTGACAGATCTCCAACCAATAGAAACATTTTCGTATCATCGTACAAACGGATGCATGGCACACGGGCTTTATTCGTTAAAGTAGATTGGCAAATTATGAAGAAAAAAATTAATCAAAAGATCCTATTAGCAAGCTATCGATTGTTGTGCGACATTCCTGAGGAAGAAGCTGGAAAGGATAAATTGTTAAATGGTTTTTAGAGCCAACTATTTGACAACAACAGATTGCTCTTGACCAATCCCTCCATTAAAAAAGGACGACCGATCGCCGTAATTTGGGCGAAAAATTATTGCTATCTATTTAATTAATACAAATAGACGAAATTATCTTTGCTCTCTTTTTGGGGCTGTTTGAAGCCAACCCTATCCAATCTAAACTGGGTTTTTTCCACCGTTAAGTCTGGCACCACTGGATTTATCCTTCATTCCCTAGCTCTCAAGTGACAATTACCTTGTCAATAATTTTTAATTTTCATAATAATAACCTATTTAAAATTGTATTTACAACAATAATCAGTCCCTAACAGCTATTATTAATTGTTGAAAAAATGGCTAGTGCCAAAATCATCGAGTTAAATGACGCCAATACCTGCAAAGTGTAAGTTTGCGAGCCAAAAATAGTTTTCAGGAATTTTCGAATAATAGGGCTGACAGGGTCTTTTAGCACAACTGTGCAGTGGGAATAACTAAATAGAAACTAGCAGTCAGTCTTTAAAACAGTAAAATACCAAAGAAATTATTATATGTTGACATTTTCCTGCCCTTGATTAATTTCAGTCCCGGGCCTCGTAAGCTTTAATCCGCCCCTGATTGCCAATGGTATCACTTTTAACAATAAATACAACTATAAAAAAGTTCTTGTTTAAAATTTCCCAACTGAACTGCCCCAAGTGTCTGGTGTATCAAACAGTAAAGTGTTCATATCAAGACAAAACTCACCAGTTCCAATCAAGTGGTCCATCAATATTTTGCTTTCAGTTGTGATAATGCTCTAGCCAGATACTCCTGCCCACGATGTAACATAATATACTGCTCCTTAACCTGCTACCAAGCAGAGGTTCATTTAGATTGTTCAGAAAGTTTCTATAAAGAAAACGTTATGAGTGAACTAAATCTGGACTCAGATCATCCTGAGAGTAAAGCCAAAATACTGGAAATACTGCAGAGAACCCACGAAAACAACAGAATGGGCTCGCCTGCAATGTTTGCGGACAGCGATCAAGAGTATACTAGGTTTGGGTCTTACTCCTAATCACAACGTGTGTCTGATTCTAATATATAATTTCTGTTTTAGTGATGTCGACTTAGACGATCTTGAACTGAATGGTGCTGGACCGTTCTCTCAATTCGTGGATATTGAAGATTTAGAAGAAGACTTGGATTCAGATGATGATATTTACGTTGATTTATCAGAGAGATTAGCCGGTAGGAATATCTTCACATGTTACTTTCTTGGAAAAACATATTTACTTGGTTTTAGGTGTAAACTTGGATGACGCCGATACAATATGGGATAAATTAACTAATGACGAAAGGCAGGATTTTGTGGCGTTTTTAAAGTAAGACCAAACTCCATGTTATAAATAAAATTTGTGGGCTTTGGTTCTTTGTCCAATACAAACCAGAAGATGGCATTTCTTTAGGTCCGTTGGTTTTCAGGTCTAAGGACGTCTCCAAGTTAATACCATCCTGGACCCCGTGGTGGATGTACAGTGAAGCGAAAGTTTCTGAAGTAAACCCCGAAAATTCGGAAGGTTTTAAATCACAATGCCCCAAAGTGGGTAACGTTAAGGATTTTGCAACTGTTACCGTAAGGGGATAATTTGAGTCTAAATAACTATTCTCTATTGGCGTTGTTTCAGACAAAACGTCCGGCAAATTGTGTAAAATATAACCTGATTAATCTCCTATGCGCTTACGCGTTTACTGTTCGCTACTACAATGGCGAATACGCCGACTTTGCCAATGAAGCGGTGGCAACTATAGCCGCCCTATCTTTGGCCCTCAAAAAGGGCCTGAACTTCGAAGACTACGAGACTGCCGTTAAAAGTGTGGAACAAGAGTGTATTAATGTAATTACTGTGGTTAAAACAGTCAAGCAGTTGTTACTGATTAATTTTTGCAGTGTGAATGGATTGTAACAGACGCAGAAAATTTGGATTTAATGAAGGACGATATTGCCAAAATTCTCAAGGGGCCAAATCCGCAGGAGAGCTCTTTCTACGTATTATGTGCGTTAAGTGACTTTCAGAACCTGCTGAAGGAATGTAGGAAACCTAAAGAACAAAACTCAACTGGTGGTAAGTTGATTAACTTGTTCCCTACAAGTCTAAATTTGATTATAACTTTCAGGCTTCAGCGCTCAATTTCTCAGTGATCAGTTCCCGCAAATCCAATACGAAACTAAAGATAAAATTAAGAAGTATTTAAAGAAGACCGACTATTTCCTTAGTTTCGCCAAAGATGTGCTGAAAATGTGATCTATTCTATTGCAAATATCCATGTTCCATTTTCCAACAATCCCGCTTAATTTCTGTGTTTGAATGTATCACTAGCGTATTTATTTGTTGAGATTTCCACAGGTTTGACAATATGTATTTGTATGCGTAACGGACAAATAGTATGTTGTGGCCAAGGGGATTGTGAAACCGTCAATAACAAGTAAATAATTGCCCCTTAAACGACAATCTTGTTTGGAGGCTTCGAAGTTGTTATTAATAAAAGTGTTATTCTACGTTTGTTGTTCAAGCGATACTAAAACCAGCTTGGGCAAGGTCACAATACATTACATATACCTGCCTTAATCTATAATACGTTAAGAAGTTATCGCTACAGTTTTCTCTAGCTAATAAATAGTCAGATTCATTTCAGTCTGACCCAGTAAATGCTCAACAACTTTATGCGCTTGAAGTGAGATAAATATAGGCTCGAGTCTGGATTATATTTAGATAACATGTGTTGATTATTTTCCTAGTTCGAAGAACCTGGATTGAACAGCATACATTTTACGACAACCCGGATAAAACCAGTTTTATTCCTGTGTAAATAGTAATACTTAGGTATGTGGGACTTGGACCTTACGCATGTAATATCATATTGATGTATTTGCTTAACAAATTCAACCTGCGTGATCGCCTTAAATACTCTGATAAGGTTTTTAAGTCGGATGTAGTTAAAATACGCAAAGTGACAATAACACTTAATATTCAGTTGGTGTTTGCAGATGGGCATATCAACTCTGTTCTGTTTTCTGTAGTTTTGTTTTAGATTTCAGTAAGTACTGTATTTTCGCCGCCATTTTTAATGAAGCTCCCTGTTGAACAACGGTTTTAGTTGCATTTTGTATTTCAGGCTAAACTATGTCGGGCCTCAAGGAATTTCAAAGTGTGGAAAGCATTTTGAAAAAGAACCTCTTGGGAGAAGAGTACGAGAAAATTCGGCAGATTCTGTACGGGCGTCCAGTCGTGTAAGCGACTTAACAATAGTACCTACTCCAGTCGCTTTAACCACATTTGATATTTGCAGAAATTTAGAAATTCCCTCTATACCGAAAAACTTCGACATTCAGGCCTACAGCATTCCTTGCCCGGAAGAACAGCTACGCAAGCCCAGATTAGTTAGGGTTGGACTGTTTCAAGTACCTAAATCAAATTTTCTTTAAAGAGCCCCATTATTGAATTGTTTAAAACCTTTTAGCACCAAATTCCGCTGCCAGCACCGTCAAAGGTCCAAGACATGAAAGAGGCAATGTTTAAGATGGCCAGGGAAGCTTTGGATGCTGCCGCCGCGATGAATGTGAATGTATTTTGCTTTCAAGAGGCGTGGAGTGAGTGTTTCACCCACTTAAAATTGAAATGTCTGTGCATTTGATGAATTCTCTTAGATATGCCGTTCGCGTTTTGTACCAGAGAAAAGTATCCGTGGTGCGAATATGCTGAATCTGCCCAAAATGGACCAACCACTACCTTTTTGCAAAAAGTGAGCTTCGATGGACGCTAAACAGTTATTGAGTTAAACATTTACTTCCAGATAGCTGAACAGCATAACATGGTGATTATTTCTCCTATCTTGGAGCGCGATGAAATAAATTCAGACACCCTGTGGAACGCGGCTGTTGTCATTGATAATCACGGGGATTATTTAGGGAAACACCGGAAAAACCATATTCCGCGAGTGGGCGATTTTAATGAATCAACCTATTACTTCGAAGGAAACACTGGACATCCGGTCTTTCAGGTACCGATAAATGCAACCACCTAAAAAGTTTACTCAAATTTTGGATTTTTAGACAGAATTTGGCAAAGTGGCAATAAATATTTGCTACGGAAGACATCACCCTCTAAACTGGCTGGCTTTCGAACTGAATGGGGCAGAAATAGTGTTTAATCCTTCAGCTACTGTGAGTACTTATTAAGTAGAGATTAACTCAGTTCAAGAAATTGATCAAATATGCGTTGATTTAGGTTGGTGACCTAAGTGAACCTTTGTGGGGGATTGAATGTCGAAATGCCGCTATAGCGAATGGATACTTTACCTGTGCCATCAACCGAGTTGGAACTGAAGTGTTCGAAAACGAATTTACTTCCGGCAATGGAAAACCTGCCCATAAAGACTTTGGGCATTTTTATGGGTCAAGCTATGTGGCCGCTCCGAATGGATCCAGGACTCCTGTAAGTTACTGAAAAATTGCGCTTTAATTTGGTGTAATCTGTGCATGTTGCAGGGTTTATCTCGAATAAATAACGGCCTACTAGTGGTGGAGATTGATTTGAATATGTGCAGACAAGTGAAGGATCACTGGGGATTTCAGGTGAGTTCATCACTAATCACAATAATACACTAGGTAATATTTTATCGGTTTTTCAGATGACACAACGACTAGACATGTATGCAGACTTACTCTCAAAGGTGCTTGCTCCTGATTTTAAGCCACAAATTATCAAAAAATAAGTACCAATGGCCAACTAAATAATCAATACATCATTCTACGCAACCCAGTATATGTAAAGTTCCTATTGCTAAAGGAGAATAAATTAATTTTACTGTTACTACCTTTTACACGTACATTCTCATCTGATGAGACGGGGATGATGCGTAAACAGTTCTTTTTCGAGTTAGTTCTCAGGCCCTCAGTTAATCACACCCAAGCAAAATTCTTCATCTTGCAATATCACAAATCATCATACTCTCTGTCCAGCGTAAAATCTAATACTTCGTCAGCTGTCAAAAACCGCACATCGCTCTGACTGTCCCCTTGGCCAGAATTAATCCTTCTATTGCCGAGGAATTTCAACTTAATTAAAGCCACACCGGCACCAATGCCCACCATAATAACACCACCCACTATAGCAATGGTCAATAGAATCGCCCGAATGTTGGTTCCCTCTGTTTGGGTTTGTTTTAGCTCCGTCTTGATTTCCCCCACATGTTCTGAGCTCTCATCCAGCACTTTGAAGGGATAATCTTTTTGGTTTGTTATGTCCTCCACATCCTCCTCCCTTTCCTGCATGCTGCTTGCATTTATATCGTTGCTGTCTTCTATGGGGGCGGGCGAGCTTTCCACGGGCAGCATTTCATTATTGCTCAAGGGATTCATGGGAACTTCGACATCGTCGTGATAGGTCATTGATGGCGTCGGTTTTTTCGGTTTAACAAACGCGATCTTTGAGTCGTTTTTACCTGGGAGTTTTTTTTCTATTACAGCTGGGGTGGTTGTTGGTTGCAAAATCACTATAGTTGGCATAGTATTCACTTTTCTGGGCACTGATGAAGGAAAAAGCGACTTCGTAGGGAGGTGCTGAATACGGGTTGTTTGTCTAGCAAGATCTTCTGTTATTGCTTCAGGCGCTGTACTTTCTTCAGTAGTCGAGAATGCTAAAATAGAAAAGAGTGTTATTTATTAATTTGATTTGCGATATTCTAGCCGGATTATGTTTGTTTCCTTACCTGCAAAGCACATATCCACCCAGTCTGGGCAGCATCGACTAGATTCATAGCAAAAATCATCGCAATCGCAAGCCATCACGAATGCACTTTCATTTCCAAACGATTTATAACCGCAACGATTTTGGCAAGTATCCATGGTTTTAATAATTTCGGAGGAGGCTGTCACAAACTCTCTATAAAAAAAATCTAAGTTGAAAAACCTCTAATTAACCGAGTTTCACAAAGCTCCACAAATCTATAGCTAAACTGATTCTAAAGCTGAAATATTTTTGTCGCAGTCAAATAGTTTTCTCAAAGTTTGAGTCAAATTGGAGTGCAAACGAGTTCTGGGGGAATTTTTAAAACTGATCCTGCAGGGTGAAGATTTCACTTTTTTAAAGGGCACTGTTCAAAAATTTGCTTTGTCGAAACTAAATGGAGCGGGCACCGAAACTTTCCAACCGGTGTACAAGACACTCTCCTCTATGGTTTCCCAAGGTTTCACTCGAATTTCAGTACAAAAGAGTTCAGGAAGAATTTTTTTAAATGTGCCTGCAAAGTGAAGATTTTACTTTTTTTGAAGGGCAATTTAAAAAAATGTGCATTGGCGAAATTAAATGGCGCGCACACCTAAACTTTCCGGCCCGTGTAAAAGACAATCTCCTCTGTGCTTTCCCAAAGCCTCCTTGAAATGGATCACAAAGAAGCTCAGGAGGAATTTTCGAGACCGAACCTGCAGAGTGAATATTTCACTTTTATGAAGGGTACTTTTCAAAAATTTGCTTTGTCGAAACTAATTTTTTTCCCACAACAAAAGTTTCCCAAAGTTGTACCTTCACTGTACCACTGAATGCTCAATTTTACATACGTGCTAGTCTCCATGTAATCGTCAATGTTGCAATTTGGAATCAATCTAATATCGTCTACAGCCATGTCGCTTACATATCCATTGCCGCGCACGCCTTCCAATATAATCTGTAAGAAACATTCCGTTCAATACGAATAGAAAATGCTGTTTTTGGCGGCTCTCACCTGGAAATCCTCCGGAATTGGCCCCATATCAGTGATTTGCCTCAGCCAAACGTTCCCCTTATTTCCACTCTCGGAGAATATTGCGTCGATGGGCTTCAGAGGCCAAGGATCCGATATTTTTTTTACGTACGCTCTTAGAGTACCTGTTGGATAAAACAAGCACCATCCAATTTATATTCGTTTAGAGAATGCAGTGGTCTAAAGTTTGTATTTTTGGTAAATTTATATCGTAAAATTAAGACATTACCTATTGTCTTTCCGTACATATGATACCAAATCTCCAAGCACACTCTGCCATCCAGTTTGCCAAAAATCGGCGAAATGAGTCGAGCAGTATCGTTTATCCTTCGTGATGACGACTCGATGTACATGTAATGACCTGAAATTGATGCTCCCCATTAAACAGACTGGAATTAAACATGAAAAACTGCATTGTTTTACCATTTTTGCCAGCTCCTAAAGTATGATCAAAACTGGGCCCTGTGGGCATCGAACTTCCTGTAGGAGTTTGGTAGTTATCCCTCACCCAATCCATATCGTGATTTATATCCTGCGTCCAGTGGCAAAGATCGTCACTTTCGAAATCGCAAAACAGACTGGGTTTTGTATGCGCGGCTGAAATTAATGCGTTTTTCTCAATTTACACGTTTGTTCAATTACGCCAAAAAATCAGATTTTTTCAAATTAGACTAAATTATTTTTTGGCAACTCTTGGCAAGCACTGGGCTTTAGTCCGAAACAAGATTCTCTTATATCTTTCCTTGCATTTAATGGGAATTTTTCTGTCTACGCATTTTCCTGCCTGTGAATGAGTGCCATTCGTTTAAAAATGCAACTGATTATAATACTTAATGCGAACTTACGAATGCACGACGGCACGTGATTGTCCCATTGAAAACCATCGCAGTAAATTGTTCCGGGCCCATTTATCTCGTAACCCTGCTGGCAGTAAAACATCAGTACGGCCCCATTCAGTGAAGGCAAAGCCACTCCGTTTTTGGGTGAAACATTATCTTTTTTGGCGCATGATGGACCTAAACCAAATGCTGTTATTATCCACAGCTAAAATAATCTGTTGGTTTGACTTCAACAGAAGAAAATATCGAAACAATCACTAATTTAAACAACAAACTGAAACGTTTTACGAAAAAAATACGCATCGTTGATGTCTCGCAACGAGAAAAACTAGCGAAAATGTTTTTTTTTTGTTTGCGAAACAATCCGCATTTTCCAAATTCACGCAATTTACTTACGAACACACTTAGGAATGGGCACATCCCAAGAGCCATTAATGCAAAATGCTGTTCTATCTCCAGCCAATTGGAATCCTAGGTTGCACAGAAACTTCACGGATTTGCCCCTTTGCCTTGATCGTATTCGTCCGAATCGGAGAGTTGGAGTTTTACACGCTGCAACATAAAAAGAGCCTTAGTGGGACACTGATATGCCAAACCAACTGTTAATTAACTAAATAATCGTACCTGTCAAAAAAACACATAACTTTAGTGATTACAATTTCGTTAAAAAAATGGCAATTTATTGCCATAAATACTTGAACGAAAACGTTATCGACACCGTCAATAATGTGGCTTCCAAGATGTAAGAAGTAACTTTTCAACTAGAACTAGAAATTTGCGCCAATCTCGTGTACTGACCTTACATAGTTGCTCTGTTTCTAATATTAACTGAAACTAGTGCATCTATGATAGTACCTAAGTCATAGTGAAGAATCGTAGTCAATCTTGATTTAAATCAAAAAAACAGCGCACAAACAAAAAAATATACACTTACTTGAATGCCCCCATGAAAAATTTGCAACAAACAAAACAAACACGCACACACAAATTACACACAACTTCATATTTGCTAATGATGAAACCCTTAAAACGAGCACATTCTTAAATTGAAGAACTGATTAATATTGGGTGTTATTTGAAATACTGAACCTGAAACGCATTTTAATTTCAGCTATCACTTAGAGCGGATGTTCATTTTACTATCGAAACGATAATAGCATCTGGAGAAGGAAGTTAGTATCAGTACGAATATTTTCTCTTTCAGCTTATCAGTTCTCATTGAAAATGGTTGACAAACTGCGATTAGCTCATCCTTTCCCCGCAAAGATATTTAGGAGCTAATTCGAACGGAGCAGGGAATGCAGGGATGTAGTTTCGGGCTGGGACAAATTGTTTGGCGTGAAAACACGGTTCCTATAGGCAGTAGCAACAATTTTTATTCCACATTAACACCCATTTGTCTTCGGCGCTTCGGTCCTTTGAATGTGATATTTCTTGCTGATTTCCAATGCCGCTCTGTACAATTGTGAGTTAACAATCCTCAAGTTTACATTCTGCTCCTCCAAGGATTTCCTTGATAGCTGCTTTTCCAAGATGTTTTCGTCGTCGGAAAATTCGATATCTTCGCTTTGCACTTGGGCAACAACAAAGTTATCAGAGTCCGCTTCAACGTTCCGTTCGAGCGGCTTGAAAATCAACTGGGGTTTCAAATTCTGCACGTAGAAATTCGCGAAGTCTGGCACAAACTTGAGGTTGGTGATTGGCGCAGGATGCTCCAATTGTCGCGAGATTTGCTGGCTCAAAATATCCCAGATGATCACGATTTTGTCATCGGCGCCCGTCGCCAAAATGCTATTGGAGAAATTTAGTGCCATGCCGATAATTTTTCCTTTGTGACCTATAAAGTCTTTACTCTCGTTTCGTCCAATGTGGTGAGTAAGGCTTCGGGGCGGATTTTTCAGACTACACTGTTTGACAATGCCAGAATTTGTTCCTACGTATAGATTCCAACAGGGCGAGTCGAACAGTACCGATGTAACGTCCTCATTAAACACCAAAGTAAGATTGTTATCGCCACTTGATAAGGTGTACAGGCGCACAGTTTGGTCCGCGGAACATGTTGCAAATCTTGAGTGTCGTCCTAGTGATCCTGGAAATAAAAACTAAGTCTTACTAAAGAGAATAGAAGAGCGAATAAAGTTCAGTGTGCAAATTTCGATTTTTTTTTGGATCAGTGTGGATTTTTCTGAAGATTTTTTTTTTAATGTTCGAATGTAATTAAAACTAGAGTTATTACCTGAATGTATATCCCGTATTGGCATGCTATGATCATTTTTAGTATAGACTGGTTCTACTTGTCCAATGTTCTTCTGATTCAATAGACTGTGATTTATCGAAACCAAATCAGCTAAGAAATACACTACCTGAAAAAAAATTGGTTAAACAGTGAATTTATTCACTAAGACATTTATCTAAGTGAGTGAGTAAGATAAAACTTACCAAAAGTCCATCGTCACCTCCTACTATCACGTATTCGCTATCACTAGAGATTTCTACACATGAGATTGGTTGATAGTGTCTCTGTTGAATTGATAGCAGTTTTCCAGAGTTGAGCTGCCAAATGTACAACTTAGTGGAGATGCCCACTACCAAATAGTGGTTTTGGGGACAAACTGCTAAACATGTGACCGCTCCCGGTAAAACAAGCCTGAAAGTTGCCAAAAAAACATGAATTAAAAAAGGTAAACTTATTTGCTTGAGGAAATAAAAATTAAATCAAATTCCAACCCAATGGTAATTACCTAGAGGAATTACATGCTATGAAAAAGTAGCTACGTTCCCGAATTTTCAACTAAGCTTTAATGTGAAAAAAACTTCTCAAAACAATCTTGCTTTAAATACGAACAAAATCACATGTAGCATAAGCTGTGCCTGTTCAAATGGACAATGCCTTGCGGTCTTAACAAATGCATTTTGCTAAATTCTGTGGCAGAGAAAATCTGCTAGAAGCTTTTGCCGGCAACTTACCTGATATTTTTATCAATTTCCTGGCTATTCAATGGCCACACGTGCAGCAACGGCTTTGCCGCTTCTGCAGTGAAAATGTAGTCCCCGACAACCGATAGGCTCTTAGGGGCCGCAGGGCCCCCATTTTTGTACGTTTTTAGCACGTTCTTCGTTTTGCAGTCCCAAAGACATGCTGAGAACTGTTCAGCAGACTGGCAAGCTGTCAGAAGCACTTCCGATTTTTCCATTTTGTGACTAAAACTAGTAAGTTGATTAACTGCGGTGAAAGTGTAGCGAAGGGTACTTTGTAAAAGGTGGATAAAGCTAAGAATAATTAATTAATTTCAAGTAGGTATCGCAAAACTACAAACCGGAAAAACAATTCGAGACAGATGACAGTACAGGTAACAGAGGACTTTGTGATCTGTGGATGAATACAACGGAATCTACGCGCCATCTTTGTTCACTGCATATATATCATTACAAATATTATATTAAAACTAATTTTATTAATTTGTAAAAGAGCTTCATTTTCTTTTATAATTTTCCACATTTTTTATTTCCGATTACATATGAAGTTTCAGCGGTACGTTGACGCTTAATTTAAAAAATTACTCTTAAATATTTAATCTAGTCCTTATTAAAACTGTTAATAAGAAAATCTACCTGAAACCATTAAAACCAATTTTCTGGCTCAGTATTTCACAGAAAATTTCCGTTGACAAAAATAATAACGGGACCTGAAATACATTTCAAAATGTGCCCTATTCGTAAAATATTTGAACATAAATGAAGCAAATTAAAATTCCCCTCGTAACTAGTTCAAAGAGGACGAGCGCATTCGAATGTCTTCGTCGCAATGATCACGAGCGAGCACAATATATTAATCGCCATGGAAACCGCCCTATCTTCGTCTATCTTTCCCGATATACCAGAACAGTTCAGAAAATACCTCAAACAAATCTCGTTAATTCAAATATTTAGTTTTTCTGTAAAATTAGTTTTTTTGCGAAAATAGCGCCTAGTTTATAATGCACCAAAGTCCAAGAATAAGAACGGATTAAAGAAAGCGCACTACGACGGGCAAGCGCAAATCGGAACCCAAATCAAGTAGGTTAAGATCTTATTATTCTTATGTGTTCGTATTCTATTTTTAGATTTTCAGTTTCTTCTGTTTATTAATCGGTGTTGGGTGTAAATGTCTTCATAGAAAACAATCGCTCGATTTTCGTCAGATTACCAATCCCGTCAAGTGTGAATTATTGCGAGTGTATATTTAAGAAAAAGTGAACAAATTGACTAAATAGGTGAATTAGTCCAGAAGTCAAGATGCCAGTTTTTCATACAAAAACCATCGAATCTATTTTAGAGCCCGTTGCACAACAGGTAACTTGATTTGTTTATCAATGTATTTTAAAAATAAAGCCTTACTCATTCGGGCTGTTCATATCGGAACTGAGTTGTTGATAAGGCATTGCTAAACCAACGAGAGGAAGACGGAAATTGTCTGGATCGCGCTCAAATGAGTAGGCGTTGGTCAATTTTCATAATTTTATGACAAATTAAGCAACAGCAGGAACGACTTCTCAAGGTGTTCATGCCTTATTAGCCAATGTGGTCAGCGTTTCGCTCAAAAATAGACGTAAAATCCATGTAAAATGCATTTCATTCAGCTTCAAGACGATTTGAATGCCAGCAAATTAGGAACTCCAACCATAACATTACCAATACGATTAACTAAGATTAAATCAGCTGGTTTGCCTTTGGCTAAACTACATGTCAACAGTAGTTACCAAATAAGGTTAGGTCATTTTCATTCATAGCTGAGCCCCCCATTTAGGCGTGAATAATTTCATTAGTCCAGCAGGTGCCATCTACACCCACGAATAACTAGATTGTTTAGCTATCAATTGTTTTATCTCCAATTTTTTTTGGGCAACATGATTCACCAATGAATTAACATTTGATTGGTAGGCTCATTTACGTGCCTAACAAAGCTTTATGGCATAGCAACCATTTTTATGTCTTCAGTTTTATTGGGAAATTTCGAAATTTTACTGCAAGCAAACGGGAAACTTCTGAGTCTGATCCTCTTTTTAACATTTTTGTGCGATTATACAGGGTGATTCACAACTTTACGGACACAGAGCAGGGGCATCAGAGGACCTCAAAACAAGTCGGGTTTCCATTCCAGTTTTTTTCTTAGGCCCATGATTAACAAGATACAGGGTGTTAAAGTTTCAAAAAAATGTTGTATAGCTCCTACAGTTCATGAGATATTTTGCTAAAATTTTTAACGTAGGCTAATGTTTATACCCTCTACCCGTAGGCAAAGCGACTGGTTGTGAAAATCTACAAGGGGTTCTTTTTTCTAGACGCATACCCCCTTTTACCCACCCGAGCTTTTTGTGGTGCGTCACTGACTTCGACCGAACACATTTTTGCATTTCTTGGTCAATTTAAGAATTTTCTGATCTCTTTCAGTTTTTTTGTATCTGTCTTTGCGAAACTATTGCATACAACACAGAGGTTTTCAACATCTAAACTACAATGAAAAGAAAAAAAAACAACCAAACCCCTATTTTCTTGTCACTTTACTTCAAGAATCGCTCCCAACTCCATCGTCGTCATTGCACATTTAGCAAGCAACAAATAACACCAAACATTACCCGAAAAAGCCACAATCCGCAATAATTTCCAGCGTGCTCGAAGACGAAACTAACTTACTAAGAAAATAATTTGGACGGATGGAGCTTGATTCTCCACAGAGAAAATTTGCATTAGGAGAAAGGAGAATTTCAAGAAAAGTTCAGCTTCAACCTCTTCTGCCTTCTGAAAATCAGATTCACAATCAATTGCCAAATTGAAGATACATTGCGAAACGTCATAAAAAATTATTCTCCGCTGGGGCCTAAAAGCCCGAAAAGCTAGCGAAATAATTCGGCAAACTGCCTGTAAATAAATTACCTACTGCTCTTAACTGGACACAGTTGTACTTGGAAAAACCGATTTGTTTAGTCATAAATTCTTATCGCACTTGTTTCTCTTCGTAATATGATCCCAAAATGCATTAAAATTGAACTTTAAAATTACTTACATGCTTATCCATACTGCACCGCATAGCAACCATTCTCTAATTACTCCGGACGATTTATCGGTTTATTTTTTATATTTCCAACGTTTTTCTCTGAAAAACAACCAGCACGTTTCTTCTTTTTGCATATAAATCAGCCCAATTTCTTCTAAACAAATGATGTCTACTCCCGATCATTGCATCACATTCCGGCCCCATGGGCACTTACAATCGCACACAAAACCAAAACGCTTCTTCTCTCCAGGTATCCAAACTCGTTATTCTACATGAAGAAGCTGAAGATGGCATTCCTATGCCAGATTTGGAGCAGCCTGTACGCACCGTTAGCAGTGCAGTTTCAAATCTGGTCAAGGTAAGTTGAAGACTGGGGTTTTGCATCGTTCTTCATTGCTCTTCGACTTCTTCAGGTCGGAAGGGACACCATTAACAGCTCGGATGATCCCATTTTACGCCAAGACATGCCAGCAGCCTTAATACGTGTCGAAAGATCTGCCCGATTATTGGAAGACGCCAGTTCCCGACTGAAAGTCGATCCCTGTTCAGCTCCGGCTAGAAAACTGTTAATTGAAGGAAGCGGAGGGATTTTACAGGTATGTTCAACCAAAAAAATCCGTCTGATTTACAGAGTGTTCACTAATTTCCCGCCCTTATTTCTTCTCAACTTATCACCCAGTGTAGCTAATAGCGCGCTATTTATTCAGGCAACATCGGCTCTGCTATTGTGCTTTGACGAATCCGAAGTGCGAAAAATCATCAGAGAATGCCACCGGGTGCTCGATTATCTCGCAGTGGCCGAAGTGATTGAAACTCTGGACGAATTGGTGCAATTCCTGCGCGATTTGAGCCCCTGTTTAAGCCGCGTATCGCGCGAAGTAAGCGACAGAGAAAAGGAACTTACCCATCAGGCAAGTTCGAGGAGGATTTTCAGCCCATTTCATCGCATAACAGTGTCTAAAATCATAAGAAATGTGTATATATTTTTGGCAATTTTCAGGTGCATTCGGAAATTCTGGTCAGATGCCTGGAGCAAGTAAAAACACTGGCCCCCATATTGATCTGTTCAATGAAAATCTACATCCACATCGTGTCGCAAGAAGGAAAAGGCGCCGATGAGGCAGCGGAAAACCGCAACTACTTGGCCCAAAGGATGACCGATGAAATCAATGAAATAATCCGGTAAGTTCGTAAACAGTGCGTTTTGGAAAACCTTCAAAGTCCGTTTTAGCGTGCTCCAATTGACCAGCTATGATGAAGAACAAAGCGATCTGGACAATTTAACGGTGTTGAAAAAGCTGCAAAACGCCATCCAGAATAAGCTGAACGCTGCCAGTGATTGGCTGTTGGTAAGCAATCATTCGAATAACTTAACGTTGTTTGTAATTATATAATGGTGTTATTTAGGACCCAAATGCAGTTAGAGGTGGCGTGGGCGAGAAATCGTTAAGACAGATTATAGAAGACGCCCAAAAGGTCGCTGAACGGTGAGCATTTAAACAGGTTTTGTCTGGAGAAAAATTCAAGCGAGTATGTGATTAGGTGCTTACCCCAAGATGCCCACAACATCAACAAACTCTGCTCTGATTTAACAACGATGACTGATGCATTGTGTGAACTGCGCCAGGATGGAAAAGGCGCCTCCCCGCAAGCTGAGTCGTTGGCCAGGGGTAAACCCAGAAATACTTCTTAATTCATATGTTCACTCCTTGCCAATTCCAGGTATTAAGGAAAAATTGGGCCAACTCCAACAAGCGGTTAATACTGCCATCATCAACGTGGACAAAGCAGGCCTGCAGCAAACCGCCCATACGGTCCAAGGAAGGTAAGCAGCTGATCTGCAACCGGTTAATGACTAAAACTAACTGTTTATTTTTCCTCAGATTGGAGCAAGCCAGAAAGTGGCTATCGAATCCAGGCCAGGACGACAAAGGATTAGGCCGTCGCGCCATAAATGCCATTGTAGAAGAAGGCCGCAAGGTAGAAATTTCCTTTAAACCAGCTTTCGTCCTTTCAAAGTCTGCTTGTAATTCCAGGTGGCCGATGGACTTCCCGGCGTCCAAAAGGCGGAAATTCTGCAACTTTGCGACGAAGTCGACTCGCTGTCCCGCCAGCTAGCCGACCTGTGCGCCCAAGGCAAGGGAAACACTCCCCAAGCGCATGAAATTGCTCGAAGGTAAGCCAATTGCAAAAAGATAATGGACTCTAAAGCGATCTTTCTTGGCTTTAGATTGTCGCAGAAATTGCACGAATTGAAAGAGAAAATTCAACAAGCCGTCACCAATCGGGTCGTGGAAGATTTCATCGACATTGTGACGCCGTTGAAGCTGTTCACTGAAGCGGTTTTGGCGCCCGAAGGAACCCCAAATCGCGAACAAAACTTCTCCGATAAAGCGTCCAATTTGCAGAATTTCAGCAACCGGGCGGTTAAAACCGCGCGGATGGTCGCTGCAGGTACAGAATCTGCAACAGCATCGAAATTGTTGAATATTGAAATGTGTTTTCAGGTGGCAGTGGTGGCAATAAGAAGCTTGCGGAAGCCTTGAGTAGCGTGGCAAGTCAGGTGGAAAGCCTAACACCACAATTAATTTCTGCGGGAAGCATCCGCATGAATTATCCGTCGAGTAAGGCTGCAGATGAGCATTTCGAGAATCTTCGACAACAATACGCTGACACTGTAACAAAAATGAGGAATCTCTGCGATGAGGCTACAGATTCCGCCGATTTTATTAAGGCCTCAGGTAAAACCTACATAGTGTGCGAATTGCAGAAAGTAACGTCGAGTTTCAGAGGAGCAAATGAAGAAACACAGTTTTTTGTGCGAAGAAGCCATCAAAAATCGTCAGCCGCAGAAGATGGTCGATAACACTTCGGCAATTGCACGCTTGGCCAATCGCGTTCTTTTGGTGGCCAAACAGGAATCGGATAACTCTGAAGATCCCAATTTTATCAACGAATTGAATAGAGCTTCGGATGCTCTTCAAGGAGGTAAACATTTTTTCTCGGAAATTGTATTAGTTAAACCTTGTATAAATCACCGATTATTTGCCCTTTTAGCGGTTCCTCCCATGGTTCAAGATGCTAAGTCTGTAGCCGTTAATCCAGCTGATCATAACGCAGTGTCTAGATGGCGAGAGTCCAATAAGGCGGTAAGCAAACTTGGATTATTATGATCATATTGATCATTATTTCCCTTATGATTTTTTTGTGCTTACCAGTTGCTAAATGCTGTCGGTCAAGTAAGAGGCGCCGTCCAGGTCAGTCCTGAGTTGCCGCCACTTCCCGACATTAACAACCTTCACATTGGTAAGAATCGCATGTTTTTCTTCATTTATGTCTTCTAATCTGGCTCTGGTGACTCCTGTGAATAATGATTTTAACATTACTTTCTAATATTTTTCAGAACGACCTTCGAATCAATATTTTGTAGAAAAAGGTATTATGGGTTTTATTTACTTCCTTCTAGCACAAAGTAATGTGGAATGTTGCTAAAGATATATCCAAGAAAAGGAATGTATTCTCAGTTTTATTTAATCTGAAGTTAATGATCCCTGAATATGTTTTTGAGAACATTCCAGTGAAGTTACGATAATAATTCCAGAAATTTGCTAACGCTTCCTACTTATTAGGGAGGAGGGTTATTTTAAACGTTTTTAGCAAATTCCTCTGATTAATTATCACAATTTTCCACCTTTTTCAGCAACTATCTATTGTATGTCCGTTTTCTTTGCTGTTCGTAGACTAAACACTCGCTTGTTTTACTTACCGAATTGGGAAGGCAAACAGTTGTTTTTACATCAAGCCAAAAATCACCAAAGTAGAAAATTAATAGCACAATTAGTTAAAATGTTCTGCACTTACGTGTTGTACAAATTTGCATGAATTCATTTCAGCTTTGCGACAGTTAATTTCCTTTAATTAACACTTTTCTATGCACAGCCAAACATGCTTATACAAAAGTCCCGGGATTTTAACTCCATCACAATAAAAATTCTCTGTGATAATTGGCATAAAAACTGCTTTTTGTCCTTCTCACATAACAATTGTAGTTGGGTCATCTTTGAGGGACGCACCCAGCCCAGGAACGGAATTTTATGGGGGCCAATATAGCCCCAATCAACACTACGGAAGGCCTGTTAGCCCGTTGCCAAAGTGGGCTAGAGGTACTTATTGATCCTAATTTTAGAAAGTAATAATCAGTCACAGAAAGTTAAATGAAAGGGTTAAACCAGTCGAGGTTCTTCAATATGTATCCGTTGTATATTTTAGGGGACAACTCTGATGTTCTTATGCAAGAGCTAGTGCCTTCATATAAATCGACCTCAGGTAAACCACAGCTATTAATTTAAAAAATCCGGTTACATTTGTACTTTCAAGTCCCAGATGCATTTTTTTTTTGAAAACTGCACCATCAAGCCGCTGCTGGGTTATTTGTATTAGGCATGGCTGTTTTGTCTCCAACGATAAAAACCCCCGAAGAATTACCTACTTCTTACCAGTTTTCATGAATCTTTGATGGCATCAGCTCGACTCCTTTCCAGTGTTGTTTGGTTCGCTTTGGCTGCACATAAAACGCTTGCTTGTTGAACGGCTCCTGGCCAGTTTCAGTGTTGTTTGTTAATTCTACTAACATCTTCGTTTCATGCGCACTCAGGATTTTACAGCTTCATTCCCGAATACATTTTAGAGGATGGTATGTTACGTTGCTTATCAAACTATTTCCGCGGGCAAATTTAGTCGGGGAATTTAATTCGTATTGTTTTACTTGAAGAACAAGCGCCTCCAAGGCCTCCGCTTCCTTACGATGGCGCCCCATTGCGTCCTCCTCCTCCAGAAACAGACGACGAGGATGACGTGTTCAAGACCATTCCCAATCCCAGCCAGCCTATTATGGTAGGAAAAAACTTAATTAATGGAGATGTTGATTGAATGCTGAGTGTGTTTTAGGTGGCCGCCCACAATTTACATAGAGAAGTGCGCCAATGGTCGGCCAAAGACAACGAACTCATCGCGGCCGCTCAAAGAATGGCCAAGTTGATGGCTCGACTTTCCGAACTCGTTCACAACGATGATAAAGGTACTATTATGCTTAAATAAGCCTGATCCGCTGCAAAATCCCTTTGATGTTTGGTCAAAGCACCGATCAGGCTCGGCTCGTTAGGTTTTAAGTATCAAGAGCGAGCCTTTCCTGAAGCCCTCTGTTTTAACCGCCTTAAAGCCTATGAATGTTAACCCGGAAAACCCAATTTTAAAGGTTCAAAACGTGAGCTGATTGCCACTGCCAAGGCCATAGCAGATGCGAGTGCTGATGCCACCAGAATAGCGAAGCAACTCGCAAGAGAATGTACGGACAAGAGGATCAGAACCAATTTGCTTCAAGTGTGCGAGCGAATACCAACTATTGCCACGCAGTTGAAGATTCTGAGCACCGTGAAGGCTACAATGTTGGGTTCGCAAGGTATTCACTCACATGCTTGGCTAGTTTGGATTTTGCATCGCGATTTTTCAGGCTCTGAAGAGGACAGAGAAGCGACCGAAATGTTGGAAGGAAACGCGCAGAATTTGATGCAAAGCGTCAAAGAAACTGTTAGAGCCGCTGAAGGAGCCAGCGTGAAAATCCATGCCCAAACCCATGGTCGGCTAAGATGGGTTCGCAGGCAACCGTGGTATGCTTATGCTTAAATTGCTGTATTTACTTGGGCGTTCCTTAATATTTTAGATGCTTCCCTACTGCCGAAACGCTCTTGTTTGGAAATATCTAAAATAGAAAAGGGCGTTTTAAAATGAATCGAACTGTACTCGAGCTTAAATTACTATGTATTAGATTTCGCAAATTCTTCAAAATGCACTTGAAATGCAAGCGAGTGTGCTAGTCTCGAAAATTATATAGGTTTTATCACTGTGAAAGTACAGTTCATTGTCATTTGATCAACACGAAAAACCCAACTAAATTTGATATAACGAGTAAACCCCCATGTCCCTTTGTGTTCATTTTATCGTTAACAGAATTCGTATTTATTGAATGATTAATTTTAATGTTCAATGTCGATAACCGGTTGTTTTAACTGAAACTAATACTTTAATGTAGGAAGCACAAAATGTGTCCAAACAACTGTACGGAAAGTGAAATTTTACCATATCACATATGTTGATGGTTTGATCTGTAACTGTTTAACTATTTTGTTGTTACGTGTTGTAATAATTTCAATCGATGTGAAAATAATCCTTAACTAATTTTGTAGCCCTTTAACCTTGATATAGACTGGCGTTCTTTTCTAACGTATACAATTTAGATTAATTGTCGCAAAAGGTGGAAAGGTGGCAACCAACCTCCATAGTATCCTTGTCTTCGGCCAAACTTAACTTAGATTCTATTATTTGTCGCGTGCCTTGAATTTGCCTTACTCCCTGTTTATGCCATGGTTTTATTCACACTTGTGTCTTCCATTGCAAATCACCGAATTCGGTAGGAGGTTGGCGACCAATCTCGAAGTGATGTAGACTTGCCTTTGGAAAAATAATCTATGATTTATATCTAGAAAGTTATTTTTATAAGCTTTTTATATAGAGATGAAGAATGTACCGTTTACTAAGAGCAATACTGCATTTTTTTAGTGTAATTGCAAAACATGTTTAAAGTTATTGTTAGATCGATAGATTAATAAACGTAAAAATTATATAACAATGTGTACCTTCCAGGCCTTTTAACTGTCTACAATACATTTCAAATGGTGAAACGTTTCCTTTCATTTTCCAGCGCTTTTTTACTGCCAGCCAAGCGTTGGTTTGCTTCGCTGACTGAAAGCTAAAAATAGTACGCAATTACGAAGAAGTACGCAAGACGAAGTATCGGCACCGCGTGAAGTTCTACCGATACTATTTTTCTTGATCCTCGGTGGAAAATTGCAGGGAAAAGGTATAAGATTTTGAGAAAAACGGCTTTGAAAACATTGTACTGACAGTCGGAGACAAACAGTCAAGTTGTCGGAAGCGTGCGTACTTTCCACACCGGATGTTGAAAATTTAATTCGCGAGTTCAAAAGTCCAAACGCCCCCCTGGTGGCTAAACTTATAACTACACGTTAACTAGTAGTTTGACACTTGTTTTGTTGACATTGGTGTTTGTGATTTCATTGAGTTCATTGAGTTTTGTTTCGTCCTAATCAACTTTTGCAAGATTTTAAAGAAATAGAAACGGATCTAAAAGTGAGTAAGTATTGTTTTATGTTATAATTGTCATCAACTCCAATAAATAAACAAGTCTCGGCAACAAGTAATTTGACTTTTACAGCGCCACCATCGGTAGTTGAACTCGCAAATAGAATAATGACAGGAAGGGTAAATTGTCATTGTAATGGATAAAAGTGATTTTTTCGCTATCAAAAATAGTGATGAAACTTCGTACTTTCCTACGTAATCCCCGAAAGCGAACACTATAAAAGTCCAAAAGTGACAGCAAGAGCTCATGTGAAAATAATGTTAAGTATTCCTAGAGACTAAAATTAAAAACATTAATAGTTGCGGAAAGAATGACTGAAAAACGTTTTCTTCTCTTCTATTTACCTACTTTTAAGTGCACTTATCGGAACAAGCGCATTCATATCCAGCGACCAAATTTGCCGCCCTCTTAAAACCGCGCACTGTTTAAATCATCGTTCGCTTCGGAAGCAGCAAAGCTGGTTTATCGGTCAGTGCAGTCCCGGCTACAAATTCAACTAAACTTCCTCTGGAAAAATGTGCCCATCCTAAACAGACCCGCCACGCGCTTGCAAAAAATTGAGCACTCACCTGGACCAAGTGAAAGAAGTTTAAACAAGAATCAAAGATTTCCAGAGAAAAACCTCAGTTCAACCTCTAAGGTCTCAATAATTCCTGCTGGCAACTTTTGGTCTAAAAACTCCGGAACATACGTATATTTTTTCATGCAATCTGCACTTACCTGATTTGATAGTTCATTACTAAACGAAATCAGATTGATTACAATGATGAGTAATGAGCGGCTCGGAATCATTTACCAACAAGGTTTTCAACATCTCGCTGTTCGGTCAGTTGCGTGATAAATCACCGTAAAAATGCGCAACAATATCGTGTCATTGCCGCTTTACTTGCTTCTAAGCCTTTATTGTCTGCAAGTTATCCAAAACCCGAGATTCAGGCCATACTATCGGCTCTATGAATGGCTTTGGATACTTCTTTTCCCGTGCGCTCAATCCGGTTACATTGTGTGGCGAATCTCGCTCCAAAAGCCTTCAGTGATGCAGATTCCGGGGACGCTCTATGATGTGTTGCTGTTGCTCTGCAATCTCTCGATATCCACAGTTTTGCTGAAAAATCGAAATAAATTGGATGGTTTGCTGCATGCGATGAAATGCTTGGCAAGAAATACTCAAAGGAAGGGAAGCAGAGTGTTTGCGGTTTTTCTTATCGCTGCCGCATTTGTACTGATTTTTTTTAGAGTCCAGGTTGTACTATCCAACTTTGGTACCTCAAACATTCTAGAAATATTTATGGCTTTCATAAGCATTTGGCTGGCTCAGCGACTAGAAATTATGTTAGTGGGAATTTGCTGGATTGCTTGGGAACTGCAACTGTATCACGGCGATTTCAATAAAAAGCTGCAACAGATTCAAGGCTTCGACAGCCTTCGCCCACATTTGCAGGTTCACAACCGACTGTGCCGTGCCGTATTAGACTTTAACGACTTGTTCGGATATCCGATTATGTTTTCGGTTTTTACCATCTTATGCCTTGCATTGGGAATATTGTCCAAGATGATTTCCAGCAACGCAGATGTTTGCGAACGACTAAATACTAGCGACGTCGTCCGCCGTTTGGTCTACTTAGCTCCATATCTAGTGAGTTTTTCTGGTCAATTGCTATTTTTCGTGCTAATCAATAGCTGCTTTATTCAAGAGCTACATAATAGCTTTGTCCGTCCTTGGAGAAAAGTTGCGAAGAGAAGTCAGGAAGACCATTGAGATTTGCTTCAGTTACTCGGAGAAATCGGATATAAGCTACGTGATTGGCCCCGTTTCGGAAACCAAGGAGAAACTCCAGGTTTTGGCCAATCAGGTCTTTCAGCGCAGCACCGCCCTGGATGCTGCCGGGTTTTTCTCCCTGGACAGTTCGACCATTTTATTTGTTGTTAATACTTTTTGTACTTATCTGGTAGCCATTTGGCAGTTCATGTAGAAAAGCACTAGAAAAGTGCCAGCAAAGTGACGATTGGAAATAAAACATTTTGAAACCGTATTTGGGAAAATTAATTGGAAAAACGCTCTGTTTACCTGCAAGTCACTTTTTGCTTAGATATGTTTAAGTGTAATTGAATCAACTCATATTTTTTTATGTTTCCTGCCCGAAATCCCTCAAAGCTAGTTTCTGGAAAACTGATCGTATTAATTGCAGAGTCATGCAAAAAATGACCACTCATCTGGACCAAGTGCACGAAGCAAGAAACAAAGATTTGCAAAGAAAAACCTCAGTCCACCTCTAAACTCTCCATAATTCCTGCTGGGGCGTTTTGCTCTAAAAAACCCAAAACGATGCGTAAGTACTTATATTTTTTTATCCACCTAAAACGACGCAATTAAATTTACCCACTCTTAACTGCACTTACCTGATTTGATAGCTCATTACTAAACGAAATCAGATGCCTTACAATGATTGATGAGCATTGGGCGGCTTGCGATCATTTACCAAAAAGCTTTTCAACATCTCGCTGTTCGGTCATTTGCGTGAAAGATCACCGTAAAAATGGCCAACAAGTTTGTGGCTTTCTCAGTTTCTGTGCTTCTCACTTTCTATTCTCTGCCAGGTGGTCAAAAATATAGCCGAAGACTAAGTTATCGGGTCTATGAAGTGCTTTGGCTGGTTGCTTTCTCATTCTCCCAATTCGGCTACATAGTGTGGCGAGCATCGCTTGGTAATCCGCTGGTGATCCAAATACCCGGGAGTCTCTATGATGTGTTCCTTTTCTTATGCAACATCTCCATATCCGGAATAGCCCTAAGGAATCGAAGCAAACTGGATAACTTACTGCATGCAAATACATTCCTGGCTAAAGTCGCCCAATGGAGAAGAAACAGCGTGCTAGCGGCCTGCATTCTCATTGTCGCCTATGTGCTGATTATCCTCAGAAACGTGGCTGTAGAGTACGTCTTCAGAAACTCAAGCAAACTTGCAATACTGATACTTATAAGCGTTTGGATGTATCAACGGCTTGAACTGCTGTTAGTGGGAATTTGCTGGATCGCTTGGGAACTCCTGCAATTTCACAGGCGTTTCAATAAAAAACTACAAAAGATTCAACATTTCGACAGCCTCAGGCCGCATATCCAGATCTACATCCAACTAATACAGGCTGTAGCCGACTTCAACGATTTGTTCGGTTATCCAATTATGTTTTCTGTGTTCACCATCATATGCTTTGTACTGGGAATATTGTCCCAGATCATTTTCGGCAGAATGTATTATTTCGAAACAATGGATCTGGTCGATGTTGTCGGCCGATTGATCTACATATTTCCACATCTAGTGAGTGTTATTTAGTTGATTGCGAACCATTTCTTGTAATCGCCTTGTTCAAGAGCTACCTGGTAACACTGTCGATCATTGGACAAAAGTTGCGGCGAGAAGGCAAGAGAACCATTGCGATATGCTACAATCACTACGAAAAATCGGAAGAGGACTGCATGATTGGTCGCGCATCGAACATCGGGAAAGACTTCTTGGCTTTAGCCAACCAGGCCTTTCAATGCAAAATCACACTGAGTGCTGCCGGATTCTTTTCCCTTGATAGTGCAATGATTTTATTTATGGTTAATAGTTTCTGTACTTATCTAGTGGCGCTTTGCCAGTTCATGTCTGGGAATACCAAATATCGTCGTCGAGTGTGACTTCAAATAAAAGAAGCCCATTTTATCTAGTAGATCGGCAAGGATTCAATCATTTGTACAGGGCTATTTAGAAGTTTAATCAGCGCCTAAATTTACAACAACACTCCGCAAACCGCGCCACGTTCACCTCTTGGGACCGCAACAGGAACCTCACTGAAGCTGGAAAATATCAGCAATTTACTTTCCGGCCACAGCAGCACCCGAAACTAATACCTTCGAGCTCTTCTTCAGTCTGGATGAGTCCTTGACCAATGTAAGTAGCAACTAGCTCAGTTTCCACAAGCAACCCCAGACGAAACTTTATGACCCAAGCCCTGATCAGCTGCATTTCCTGCTCTGAAATCCTCCTTTTGCATTTTTTCGCTTCCCTGGCACAAATTTCGTGGACCCTCCTGAAGGCCTGTTTGATCTGCCCGCGGAATTCCTCCTCCAGATCCACCTGGGTTTCATTCTGGAAAACATCAAAATCTGTGTTAATACTTAGCACACCAAAAAAAACAAAAACTCGCTTGGATCAGGTGAAAGTGGCCATTTTCCAGCCGCTCCAGCAGCTTCAACAGCCCGCAAATCTTCAGCTCATTCTGGATGTTGGTGTTAGCAATAACAGCATCAGCCAGCATGGAGAAACACTTGCGAGCACTGGAGGCCAACATCTCAAGCCTTTTCCTAGCTGGACCTTCTGAGTAAATCTAAAAAATACAATGTGCATCCACCTGGGAACACCGATTGTTCAAAACCTACCTGTTGCTTTAGCTGGCTCTTTTCCACCTTCCCCGCAGGTTTTCTGGTGAAAAACCTGCAAAAACCTGCCAGCTTTTTGCCGCTGTTTTTGGGCTCTTCAACCACGTCCAATAAGGATCTGGCGAAGGCAACATCTTCGTAAATTTTTGCGCAAATCGTCAGCTCCTTTTCGTAGATTTTGATTAATTCAGCTACGAATTCCTGAGGGGCCTCATTGGATGGGTTCCAGGTGCAAGAGGACTCTTCTTGGATGCTGATGGATGTTCTGGATGACTTCATCAATTCAGGGCCTAAATAGGTGCTGATTTCCGTGTTTAGAATTCGGTTGCTGAGCACTATCTGATAGCTGATTGGTGAGTTAGTTAGCTCAGCTACGCTTGGAATCATCGTGTCTGCAACAATCAAAAGCGATTATTAAACAGTATTCGCGAGAGTTACAACCAAAGGTTAGTCAGGAAAAACGGCAAGAAAGGTAGTTGAGCTCGCGAATACCCTCTATTAGCTTATATGAAAAAGAAAATCGCTCAAATTCCCCAGTAGAGTAACAACCCATTTCTTTATGTACCTGAAAGCTGGCCGAAATGTTCGGCTGCAACATCGTCCTGTGAGTCCAACGCACATTCGTCCTCCTCAAGCTCATCAGCATCCTCCCGAATCCCCATATCGCTCGACCCGGAACGCAGACTCAAAGCCCTGCTCTCCAACACAATGGAGCCGTTGCCTCCAAGCAGCAGCTGCAACGAGAACTCCTGATACTCCTCCAGGTTGTCCTCCAGCCGCACCTCTCCACTGGCCTTCACTTTCCTCGCATACAGTTGGCAACTCTTGGTCATCTCCTCGTAGACGTTATCCTCCACGTCCGGTTCTGAAGCAACTTTCTCCAGCTGCAAAGCTCTGCGACTAGGCGCTCGGAAGAGCGCAGCAATATTCGGTTTTTTGAAAAAGTGCGTCAACGAGCTGCTGTGGCCGCTTCGGGATTTAACGCTCGCATAGCCGCTTTCAATGGAACCAGCCGGACTTTGAGTGTGTTTGATGGCTTGGAAGAGGGGCGTTTTGAGGTTCAAGTTGAAAGTCTGCACCAAGTTGCTGAACTGTGAGGCAGGCTCCAATTGATCTCTTTCTTCATAGAGGAACTCGAAGGAGGGCGAGTTTGTGGTTAAAATGGGACAACTGATTGGCTGCGATAAGATTGGCAAGCGAAACTCCTCGACCGTTTCCACACTGACTAGTTCCACGTTGTTGGAGTCACTGGATGTCTGGTTGAATGGGGCTGAGAAAATATCCTCCACTTCAGGAGCGGGTTGTTCAATAGCTTCCTCACTAGGATATTGAGGATTTTCCGCCGGGTCTTCAGCTCTTCTGTATTTAGCCAAAGTCGCCTGCAGCTGATCCATAACAGTCCAGACGTTCTTACAGGCAGGGCATTGCTGGTTTCCTGGCGCACTGCAAGGGCAGGATTTCATCAAGGTTTCATTAGCCAGCAGCTGCTGGCACAACAGCTTCAGCTGGCAGGTGGAATCAGAAGAACAACCTGCTGATTCTACACCGTCTGCCACTTGTCCCTGTTCAGAGCTCTCAGCAGCAGCACTCTCAATATCTCCTTCGTCTGGGGAATCCTTAGCTTCACCATGGCCTTTCTCCTTTAACCGCCCGTGGGCTCGTTCCGTCGATTCAGAGCTCTGCCGATTCATCATGGAAAGAAAACGCACCTCAAAAATCTGCGGCTGGACCATCTCCTTCGAAAATCGGTAGTTGCGCTTCATTTTTTGGCGCCGCTCCAAATCGTACAGCTTTCGCTTCTGGTACGAGCTGATCTGCCCCCTTTTGTAGTCCTTGGTAAGGAGGAGCCTGCTGGTGAATTTGTCCCCGATGTACTGCTCCAATGAGGATCCGTGCGACTTTGAGGCGCAACGCAAGCGCGGTTTGTTGCGGAACTTCTCCAGGTCCTCACTCAGGAAACTTTGCTCTTTTTCAACTGCTTGCGGGCAGCACATTTCCGACTGCGACTGGTTCTTCACCTCCACCAAAGACTTACTTTTGCGCACCGGCTTTGACGCGTCGCTTACTGAAGAGGAGGTCGAACTCTCGACCTGGCTTGTATCCATTTGGCAGCTGTAGGCGGCAGTGCTGACTATGGCCGGGCCAACGTTGGATGTCAGCGGCGCACTTGAGGGGATTCGTCTGGATTCAGCTTCGTATCTATGGAAGCAGGATTCGACTCTTTGAGAGTGGAAATCATCTCTTAAAGCACTGGATGGTTTTCCGTTCTTCTCCAGGCTTCTGAAGACTTTCACGCAGGCTTCTGCACCGCTCTTTGTTGTCTGTGTTTGCTGTCTAACCTTAGGAGTGGCTGATTGTTCCGAGGGCGGTTTGGGCTTTCGCACTCTGGGCGTCCAGGGTTTTCTTTGAGGGCGTGGTGGCGACACCTGCAAAAGTTTATAGCATTTTTAGGGATTTGCCAATACTGCAGCTCTAATGAGTTGGTTACTTGAACCACGGCTTCTCCAGTTAATCGGATGGGAGAAACTCCGGTAGATTTGTACTGTTTCGGTTCCTTAACTGGCTGCTTCCTGACTGGGGTCTTCGCCCTCAATTTCCCCTTGCTATCGCCTAGAATGGTTTCGCTAGAGAACCAACTTGAAGGAAATTTGCGCTGATATTGTTACCTACTGCTACATCTAGCACCTTTTTCTCATTGGCCCCTAACTCACCAACTCCCACCCCTACGCTCTTCTGAGACATTTTTCTGTTTGTGGACTTTGAGCTGAGTCGCGGCTCTTTAGCAGCATGCGGCTGGGTGAACCTCAAAGCGCTGGCCGCCACGTCGACCGTCGCAGGAGGAGCAGGCCTAGAGGAGATGCTCTCCTCCAAACAGTCGATGGTTTGGTAAATTTCCTGAAACCGTTTTTGGCTTTTCTGCTTGGTTTCTTCGGCGCTTTTGCTCGTTTCGGTTTGGCATTCCTTGCAACATCTGGCGGAGAGTTCTTCATTTAGCACGGATTTGAATGCGGAATAGTTGCGCGGTTTTTGCTTGCGGCTGCTCCGCTCTTCCAGGAAAAGCGTTTTTAGGACTTCTCTGGCTCGGTTTTCATCGAGAATAACATCGGACTTTGAGCTGAGCAGCTGCTGCTTGTGGTGAGTGTCTGGATACAGCTTGAAGTCGCTTTTGGATTTCTCGATTTTGTGGTATCTGAACGCGATGAAATAATCAGTGACATTTTGTATTATCGAAAATGCGCACTAAATTGATACACCCGGTAGATCACACATCCCCTTCACTCATTTAATACCTGCACTTTCCATTTTCGTAATACATAAACCGTCCATCATCCGCCTCTCTGCTCTGCACACTGAGGTCCGATTGAGCGCTCTTCTTGTCGACTTTGAGGCAATAATCCGAGTGACTGCTGGTTAGAACGCGGCAGTAATACTGCTTGGTGCAGCTCAATGGCACGAAAAAGTCCCTATTGGGAGGCGAATAACTCGATAGATCTGATGGTTCCTCCATTATGTTGTTTAAATGCGAATTACGAGGGGTGACTGCTCGGTTCCATTTTTTTGTCACTAACGGCACCACCTAAAAATAGGTGCTCTTTTATGTACCTTTTATATGGAAGATAAATATTTAACCAGCAAATTCAGCATGGTTCTTGATGAGACACTCAGAAAATTGAAGCTCTTACCACAACCTTCTCTTCAGACGGATCAGAAACCAAACGCCCACTGTCGCTTACAACGCTTTCCCGGTCCGAACAATCGTCCTCCTGGTCCGATCTTGAATATTTATAATACAGCTTAAACGATTTGGAATTTTTCTTCTTCTCCACCAAGTCGCGCTCCGTTTTCGAGGACTTGTGCGACTTGCCACTGGTCTGCGTCTGGATGACTCCCCTAGTCTCCTCCCTCGGTTTGATGTTCACAATGGAAACAGTCTTGCAGTCCAAGATCCTGACTGGAATAACTCTGCCTGGTTTCCGTCTAGGGCATTCTAAAGTGGGCGGTTCAATGCCTTCGACAATAAACTCGTGCTTCTGCCGGCATTGGAAGCTCTCAGGGGGCGGAAATATTTCCTGAAGAAACGGCTCAGGGCTTTGGGAGGAGCAATGTTGCGGTTTTGCGACCAGTGGAAACCGAGCGGGAGAAGAGCTTCTTCGTTCTTCTTTGCCGCGTTTGGGTCTCACTGTCTCCTCACTGGCTGAGAACATGTGGCGGAAGAAACGCGGATGTTCTTGGAGGAACAGATTCTCTTTTTTTGAGGTGTGCGTATAGGGGAGCCTCACCGGGCCCTCACAGGTTTTGCTGGCGTCTTTCCTCATCGTTTCCTTGCCTGATAAAGTGTTCGCGTTCAATGTAGCTTGCTCCTCCTGCTTCAGGCGCTTAATGACTTCATTAATAAGCTCTTCTTTGTTCAATTTTTCCTCAACTGGCTTTGCTGGTTCAACCGGCGGCTCTTTGGGCTTGGACTTGCTTCGCGCCTTGTCGCCTTTTCTTCTGCCGCACTTGTTGATCTGCATCAACGCGTCCAATTTCCTATCGATCAAAGTCTGGATCTTCCCGAAATAATTCTTCAAATCGCCTTCGATTATTTGGTGGATCTTCTGCTCCTCAGCCTGCGTTGTTTCGTTGCGAAGCTCCACCTTTTCCGGACTGTGCCTTCTATGGATCTTCTCTCGGTGTTCATGATGATGCTTTTCGGGCCTGTCCAAAGCGAAATACTTCTCATAAGGGCCCAAGCTGATTTTGTGGTGGGAATGCTCCCTTCGTTTGCTGTGATGCTTGACTTTGCAATTGAAGTCTGGGTAGCGAGTCTGTGTGATGTACTGTTCACTTGCTGGAGTTTCGCAGGGCTTTGGGGGCTTTTTTGAGCTGAAACAGTTGGTGATGTTCAAGTTGACAAGAAGCTTTAGGGGATTCAGTACCTTTCCCCATGATGGTGCCTTGATTTACGATCCCCTTGACTGTTGATTAACTTTGCAGCTTCGGTGGGTTTTTCCTGGTTGGAAGACTCTTTGTGCTTGTGCTCATTTCTGATGCGACGATACAAATCTTTCACCTCCGACGCGGTTTTGTCGTTCTTCATTTTGTACGGCGGCTGGTTCATTTGGCAGAAAATCACTTCCTGGATCGTGCCAAAGCCCTGGCTGGCCTTGGGGGTTTTCTCCTGCGACTTGGGTTTGGATTTATGCGACTTTTCCCGTTTCTTCACGGGCTGGTCTTCGACAGTTTCCTTTGCTTTCCGGCTGCGGTGCTTGTGGTGACGCCTTTTAGTCTCGGGTTTTTCATGCTTTAAATCGCTGGCTTTTTGAAGGGCGTCGTTGAAGGACTTTTCCTTGCGGAAAAGCAGCCTGGTTTTATCCAGGAAGCTGCGCTCGGGTTTTTCCAGCGAGTGATGTCTGACTGCTTTATCAGTGGCTGAGTTTGGAGCTAAAATCATAAGTTTCAAAGGATGTTAAATCAGGTGGTCAAACAGGCCCAGTCGGCTTAAGTTGCGCAAAAAACAAAACTTTAATAAAATCCTGAACCTTTTTCAGATTTATCACCTCTGGGGGCTTGTTCCTTGGAACGTTTCGCTTGTTGGGCAGCATCCGGAGGAATTTGGGGCCCCGGGCAGTCTCCACATGCATTTTTATCGATTTTCAGTTTTTTGGCGCCGATTTCTTCCAGCAGTTTTTCCGGCTCACGCTTGTGCTTCCGGTGGCTTCTAGAGTGCTTGTCCCGATGCGCTTTGTTTTGTTTCTTCGACATTTTAGATCTTACGCGTAATTTTCTTCCTTGAAAAATGACGTTGAATGTCAATCAGCGCCTAGAATACGTGCAGGTGAATAACCCGTAAATGACACAGTTTGGGGTTGATTGAGACCAATGACGTAATATACGAGGAAAAAGCCAATTCCGTTGCTAATTACCTAGTCCCAATTAGCAATAAATAAAAAGGTTTGCGTGAGTCCTTTGAAAAAAAATCGGCAAATTTCAATTAAATTTTATTACATTATATTTCATTTACATGAACATATACAAAGTGAATTTCGGTCTTTACACAATTAAACAATTACAATTTAGTGTGTGAAAAATACTCTTTATAGGCATACTTGGTTTATCAATTGCAACTTCAACCTACCGGAGAGATACAGTGGATTGTGGCCGCAAATTTAATTGATTCTATCAATATTGTGCTACAAAACGTATGCTACCTGTTTTACAAAAGTTTAAAAAAATTATACATCACTTTGAAAATCGAATAACATACATAAGTACAGTCGACCAGCAAATAGTTTACTTGGCGGAATTGAACATAATATAGGAGGCAGATACAATATTTTAGTGCGTAACAGTTGCCGTAAGAAGCCCGTAATAAATTATTCACTAATCGAAAACAATGTGTAATAAATGTATATAAAATTACATAAGGTTAATTAACATGGTGGTGATGGTCGTCACTCTACTTCTTTTCCAGGATGGTGGCTTTGAGCTTCTCGTAGTTGGCGCCAGAGAAGGTCAGAAGCACCGACTTGTTTTTGATGAATACAAACGTGGGCATCGAGGAAATGTTATATTCCATCGCGAGTTCTTCACATTCATCTACATCAACCTGAAAATAATAAACGCATTGTTGTTGAACCAGGCTAAACAGGCTTATAAAATATTTTTTTGCGTCTACAGCACATTCTTTATACGTAAGGAATAAACATGTATGTAAAATTCGCGCCAATTTGTCTTAGTTTAATATTTATTATTTGTTTCTTACTTGCAACAATCAATTTTCCAACATTAAATGTGAATTATTCAATTATCTTTGAATTTGTTTTGGATGTTTTGGATGAAAATTCTATCGTGTTTTTCATCACAAAGTAACATTTTTACTTGGTATTTTAGGAACTCTTTGTGATGGACAAGCGAGTTTTTGTTCTTTGGTTTTTGTGCACGTTTTACCGGCACTTGGAGCGAATTCATCAGCGTCAAATCACAATTGTTCATTTATCAGTGGCGAAGAATTTGGGGCGAGAGCGATAATGGAATTGGACAAAAAAATTACTTTGCGCTCATCAGTTGCGGTAAGAACTGAAAGTGTGTACAAAAATTCGATGTTTATCCCACGATCCTGCAAGAACGCCGAAGAAGATGCCAAAACTTCCGATTTTTCAAATCTAACTATTCAAAACAATTCTTCAATCAGCACAGCGAAAAGCGAGCAAGTTCATTTTCATATATCGACCATGAATAGTCCTATATCCTGCCTTTGGTATAATTATTAGTTGGAAATTCACCTTAAGGATGTGTATATCGGCATATTCATTAGCCAATTCTTCAAGTTTCGGGCTGATCATTTTGCAGGGTCCGCACCAGGTAGCAAAAAAGTCGATGACGACCAACTGATCCCCGGCGTCGGAAAGCTTCTGGTCCAAATCATCCTAAGAACAACACAAAATATAATTAGCATTAAATCAATAATCAAAACGTTTTTCCATTTTACATACATACATACATACATACATACATACATGTACAAATGTAATTGATTTGATCAATCTAATGGTTCAGTGTTCGTGCAGGAAGGCAATTAGGACCTAGCCTGGTTAAATATTACATTACCACACTTGAATAGTGGGGAAATGCATTGAAATCGCGTTCCGTAATTTATGGATGGATTTTACGTAATTCGCGTGTGGTTTATAGCACATTTGGTCTTTGGCCTAGGCCTAATTCGATCGACAACAGACATCCAAAAAACTCCAACTCCTTTCGTTATAAGCAAAGGTATGCGATGCGGATTTGTGGTATGGTATTCAAACAACCTTCAAATCGAGTTCCTGATCGTTTCGTTTAGATTGACTACAGCGAATTGGCACCACCCATAAAAACTAGAGTTAGTGATAAAAATTGTAATTTATTATCAACGGTTCATCCAGTTGAAACCTTACTGATAAAAACGAATACTTAGCCAAAACCTCTCAGACTAATGGTTTCCGAGATAAGGCGAAAACCAAAATTGTCAAAGTTTGCTCAGTTTTTCCTTGATAAACCCCGTAATTTTTCAGGAATTGAAAAACTTTTCATTTGTGGTTTTTCTATATTGTTACACGATTAGATTTGCCCTAAGCAGGTGAAAATCTAATGGGTGTATGCTTTTTGGAGGATCAAAAGGATTCTTTTGCATTAGAAGTTTGTTCCTACTATTCTATAGCTTTTCTACAGTGGTTTTTTTGTGCACATTTTATACAAATCCACAGATTGTGGTGCATCAATTAATCCCACATTGGCTCCACAGCCAAATCCCCTACCCATCTAGTAGAATGGTAGAAATTACAACATTCAATAAATACGAATCATAGTTTACTCAGCTTTGATAAAATGAATCATTACCTTTCAAAAACCAGTTTTTAACATGAATTTTACCAAGTTTCACGACCTTGCCCCTGCTTACGTCGACCATAAGCAGTGCATAGTGAATGATGACATAAATCCGGGCATATCACCGGGCTTGATTATAATATTTACGAACTAGCAATGAGTAGTGTAAGACTACTGAGGAAGATGGCAAAATAGGGAATGTGGGCTTTCCTACCACACCCAGCTAGTTTTTAGATAAAAACCGAAACGGTTGTCCCACCGGCTAGACCAATGTCAAACACCAACAGATAGTTACCTTGTCCTTGATGTGGGTTACCATTTTGACGAATTCACCACTGTTTTGGGGCGCTAAACACTTAAAAGATGCAACGGAAGCCTCTAAAGTTTCACAACTAGGGAAATCGAGTCTTTTCTTTGAAGATGACACGATATGACAATCAAGTCCCGGACAGAACTAACAGGAGTACCAACAGCGTCGATTGCCAACTGAACTGACCGCTTTAGGTGGAGTCAGTTTATAAATATATGTAGGGCGCTTTTTACTAACACACAAACTGGAAAGAGATAGACTAATAGGACCTTGTGAGTAATCGTCACAGTCATAAAATGACGGCAATTTTACGGAAGTTTTTTTATTTGGGATTTTAGTCGATAAGTCGATTATCTGACTATTGCGCGTTATGCCATTCATTCATTTAAATACACCGCATTTTAAATCATATGAATATTATCTCAAAATGGTATTAGTTGATTAATTAAAAAGTAGATCTTTTCCATAAATGCACTCGTAAACTATATGAACATGATAAAGCAATTTCAAGGGACATATGTGTATATTATGAGGTCATGATGACTTTCACTAAACCCCAGAACACTTCAATAGCATTTTATAAAAGATTAGTCGAGAAAGTAGCACGGTTATTTGCGCTTTTAGCATAGATAATCGTATCGTTGTCCAATATTTAACCTTTCAGGAATTGAAATGTAGGTATTTGAGGATTTTAATTGAAAATTAGAGCGATGAGTGCAAATATTCTATGATAACGATAAGCAGCAACGAATTAATCGTAATTTGAAATGAAGTGATCCCATAGGCTCAAGACGCCACTACTAATATTACCATCAGAATACTACTAACTAATATCAGACTATGAAGGCTTTCACGGCCGGTTAATTCACATTTAGGAATGTTTTCCGGGCTTTGAAGCCGTGGTCTATCGGAATTTCTTCCTGACGTTTCGTCCACATCTGCGGTGGACATTTTACTTTACTAACTAATAGTTATTTATTTACTTACCCACTATCCAAAATCACAACAAAACATCCAACCACTGCAGAATACACAGGGTGTCGAATAAAATCCTGTATTAACCATTTATTTTAAAAACTACAAAGCAGATTCTTTGCATCAAGTTACCCTTTTTCATAGGCATGTCAATGTACTTCGTACTATGTCAATGCGTCAAGTCAGTCAATTGTTTTATGGCGGTCCGGAATGGTAGTGCGCGAAACGGTCCGACTGGAAATCCGAAATTTCCAGGATTTTTTATTTTCGCAAAATTAAACATTTCCTGTGCCATTTTCTGATATTTTCCCGACCGCTAAGATGATTTTTGCAAGAAAAACGCGATTTCTAAATCAGCAATACTCTGACGTTTGTCAAGCTGGGATTTCATCATGACAGCGCCCACTAACAATGACGCATGAATATATTTGGCATTAAATTGCGAATTTGAACCTTTTAAGAGACAGTTGATTATGGACCATCAGGACACAGGAATGAACTTCTTAATGGTAGGTGCAATTTTTCAAACTTCAACCGTTTAAACGATAACAAAAATCTGTATTTTCTGCAAATGTCGGCATACAATAGTGCAAAATGCGCGCTTTTAAATTACTTCAATTAATTAACATGTGTAGGGCAATTTGTTAAAAATTACTATAAAACAATATAAAAGTACAATAAATATAACATTTCAATAGAATATAATAAAAGATCTCTCTCTAGCTATTTTGTAAAATCAGACGTTAATCTAAGTAATTTGCAAATATGGATTTATTAGGATGCATGTTTCGAGTTCTTACGATATAAAAACATCATTTGTAAGGACTGTTTCAAGTATCTACATATACGAGCTCATGGCAAAATGCTTATGTAATGACGGTAGGCTCTTCTCTGCCAGTGAATTTCTTTAGCTGCGAAATTTCCAATCCAATGTTCACTAGAGGTTTCAGCATAATCTAAAAAAAAAAACAGTTCCATTTAGTGAAAAACCCTACTATACAAGTATAAAAATGGACTATTTGGATACAGAAATGTGGAGTTAAGTGGCTTTTTGAGGTAAAATATGCACGAAAAAAAACATGAAAGTTCTAAACAAGTTTAACACAGCAAAAAATCATCAAACCGTAAATAAAATTGCGGTCTTGTTTATTAATTATAAGCAAAATTGTCACCATTATATGTATATAGAAATATACTTACTTGTGCATCGGTCAAAACGTCTTCCTTCTCATAGCACTCAATGTAAATTCTGATAGTCGCGCCGCTACTGCCTGTGCCTGATAATCGGTAGATCAACCGGGAACCATCATCAAAAAGTATCCGAATTCCCTGCGAGTAATGCATAAAATAAAACCAGCACAACATGCAAAGATCCCATTATATAAATTACCTGGTTGTTAGCTACAGAATTATCAATAGGATCCACATAAGAAAAGTTGTCGGCTTTGGCTACTGTGTAGCTTTTTCCACCAGAGCAGAAGGATTTTCCCACAAAACTGCCGTCAGCAATTAAAGCTTCCAGATGCTGCATCAGTTGATTTGCTGATTCAGTTTCGCATTCCTCATAGTCGTACCTGGATAGTTATTTTTAGTACTTTTAACTTTGGTGCTGAGATTTTGTTAGTTTACCTGGTAAAATAGTTTCGTCCGTACAGCTTCCAGTGCTCCTTCAGTATGTCCTCCACGCCCATATTTTTGTGCTCAATAATCGAAAGCCACGCCAACACAGCCCACAAGCCATCTTTTTCCCTAATGTGATTGGAGCCAGTGCCGAAACTTTCCTCGCCACATAGCGATAAACGGCCAGCATCCATCAGATTGCCAAAGTACTTCCAACCGGTGGGAACTTCAAATATTTCCTTGCCCAATTTGGCGGCAACTCTAAAATTTTCCCTTGAAATTGGCGCATAAATCGTTATAACTCTTTTACCTGTCGACAGCAGCGGCCGTAGGCATGGACCTGGCAAATCCGTTGATGCCATTCTTCTTAAAATAGGGAATACATTCCAGATTATTTGCCAACACGGCTAGTGAATCGCTGGGAGTAACAAAGAATGCGTTCTTTCCTAATATCATGTTTCTATCGCCATCTCCATCAAAGGCAGCTCCAAAATCATAGCTGGAATCCGCTTTCAGGGCATTTACCAGGTCCTTGGCGTAGGTTAGATTGGGATCTGGATGAATTTCCCCAAAGTTATCCAAAGGAACGACACGCCGAACGTTATTGTCTGGGGAGGCGCCCAATTCTTCCACGAAGATATTTCGCACATAGACGCCAGTTACTGCAAAACATCCCAGTTCAAACTAAATATTCTGAAAAGATCACAAGAAGTTATTTACCTCCATTCATGGAATCTAGTAAAATATGGAATGCTGGCCGTTTGTCGGTGCCTCTGATTAGTGCCCTGAGTTTGTGGAAGTCGAAAATATTCTTCATTAAAGCTACGTATTCTTTGGAGGAATCGATTATCTCGACCGTAAATGTCCTCCCCTCGACCTGAAAATTATACAATATTGAATAATGCACTTACTACAAAAAAAACGCGGTTCTTACATTGAACGTACGCGTCCCCAAAACATCGATAATGCGATCTGTTTCCAAAGATGGCGTGGTTTTATACTGGGTGATCTTCTTGGTCAGTTCGTAGATGGTGTTGGTAATCTGGTCGGGTGCAGGACCCCCATTTTCGATGTTATATTTGATTCCGAAGTCGTTGCGGATTCCACCAGGGTTGTGCGATGCCGTTAAGACAATTCCACCTAAAAAAAAAGGGTTTTTCTCATTACAGTTGGTCTCTAGTTAGCCAGGAAGGTGATAACTCTGGAACTCTCAATTTTATGGCAAACATTTTAAAACAGTTCGGGTCATGGACAGCTAAAGTGATTTCCCGTATTAACCAAAATCTATAAAATTGCATGTCGTGATATGTAGTATAGTCAGAAAATAGGTAATAACCGTATTGTTTATCTAGAAAGATACACAAACAACATCGCCTAATTGCAGTAATTATATCCATTAATATAAATTTTATTATTACGTTTATTGTACGCGATGTTTTCCATGAGGACATCCACCGATCACATGCGACTTTCAAAAATAATCGACGATGATCGTTAACGTTAACATACTATTTTCGTGTGGTGTTAACCAAACGTTTTGAAATATTGTTTTCAATAAACTTACCCAATACTTTTTCCTGTCTGATCAAAGCTGATACAGCAGGGGTGGACAAAATCCCTAGTTGGCCAATGATCAGTTTGGAAACCTGCAATAAAAGGAAAACTTGAAATGAATTGTCTGCTAAAGAAAGAGACACAATCAGTTTCTTTAAACCTCGGGAGATAAATACATTAATAAGTAAAGCATGACGATTAAGAGGCCAAATAAAACTCAACAAATTAAACTTCAACTGACCTCATTTGCCGATGCGATTCGAATAATCGTGTTAATGGCAGGCTTGGAAAAGTAGCGCCCATCGCCTCCCACAACAAGAGTGGATCCTTTTAATTTTTCGCCCAGGGCATCCAAAATGCATTGAACGAAGTTCTCAGTGTAGTTCTTTTGCATAAACACCTTCACTTTTTTCCTCAAACCGCTCGTGCCTGGCTTTTGGTCATCGAATGGCGTGGTTGGGACGATAACAGATTCCAAAGTTCCCGACATTTTCAACTTCCAACTATGAAGAAAACAGGAGTTTGAGTCAATTAGGAATTAGTGGATGAACAGATTCATATAGTATTGATTTATTCAACTTGTACTTTTCTGCAAAGGTTTCTGGTTTCTGCAGATCGATGTGAGGACGAGATAGCGTACGTTTTTGATAATAACTAGCCAATTTTCTTTAGGTTTTCATTGTTTTATCAAATTACGGGGGATGATTGAATGGCAATAATGTGTTTTCTAATAAATTCCGAAGGAAATCAGTTAGGAAACTGCTGATCTGGTGGTTGAAAGCGCATGAGGCTGGTTTGTTGTGATGAATGATGAGAGCCGTTATATGTTTACAATCTAGGTAAAACTACACTTTTGATTTGTACCATTGGAGGTGTGAAGATTCTTCCAAAGAGAATCTATAGAGAAAACTAAGCTTACATTTTTTATGAGTTCTCGAAACCGATCGGATCTCTACACCATTGTAACACGTTAATCATGCCTACGGAATTTAAACAATTATACATTAAGCCAATAACGATTACACGTACTTATTAATGAAAACCTGAAATATATTACATAAAAGTTGAACAAATACCTTTATCTCACGACAACCAAACTGGATGAGTAGCTGCAACAGTGGGCCAGTCTTCTTGTCCAAGTTAGCGCTTTATATGATAGTTATTTATTTATTTTCCACAGGTTTTGCAAAAAATTATCTTTTCTCTGTTTTGAAACGCCTCAATGACGAGTTAAGGTCATCAACCGCGCACTTTATTGGCGCAGTTGATAAATGTAACTTGCGTGTTTATTGGATCAGTGCAAACGTCACTCGGTAGGCTAGAGTTGGGCTCCGATGAATTTTCGATAGTTATTTGGACGGGAAACCAAAAAATCGACATATTTTTTCAGTTGGAATTCGTAATTAAATTTTTGTTGAAATTAAAAATTGACGCTTTGAGTTAATTAATTTATTAAATTTCACCGGCATTTAATGGGGTGAAAATGTAGTTACAATTTGGTGATTTTTTTATTTTGATGGAAACTTTTTGAAAGTACTCCCGTTTGATCAAAAGCGATTATCTCGAAACCGGTTTATGTACCGAAACAATCCAAGAGATCAAATTTGAAGGTTTTTGGTTGGTTCACTTGAGTGTGTGAGTAAATTTTTACATTTCCACTTGCAAATAACGATTTTGCCGTTGCCGCAAACTGAGACCCAAAAGTATTAACTTCAAAAATTTAATCTGCCAATTTCAGGATAAAAAACTGAAGAAAATTTTGCAATTTTTTGATAAATTATATACAAACAGGACCAGAAATTAGAAAAAAAACTGGCGCTTAATAATAATTAAGTTTTAATTAAACTATCTTGGCGCGCATTTTATCCAAATAATTTTCCGTTTTGGAGCAACAAAACTGTAGTTAATTAAGAGCACCCTGTGGAAATTTACGCATATGTATTTTCCATTCGAATCCGGGAACAGTTTCCAGAATTGAATGTAATAAACCTTCATTAACTGTTTCAGTGCTCAAGCTCATCCAGCCAGCCATTTCTTTTAATTGAAATTATCACATATGGTAACCATATTAGTATCAGCGTAGTTTTGTTATTTGACTTTCTAGACCGGCCTCGCTTTATCCACTAATCCTCACTATACTCTCTTTCTCTGAACGGATCCCATGGGAGAAACTGCCAGAAAGCGATTACCAGCGGCGTAACTACTGTAGAAAAATTTAAAAATTGAAATCATTAGAGAAATATTTTTTGCGTAAAAGCTGTTTTGGTCAATAAATCCCATTAACATTTTAAATATTTAACGCAAAAATCAAGTCAAAAGCACCAAGCAAAATTATCAAATTGACTAATTAATGATTAAGCCATATCGAGTCTATTAATTACAATTGAGATCCAAACCAGGCGTTGGAATTAGTGTGAGAGTAATTAAAGGCGAAATTGTGTCACGCTACTGAGATTTTTTGTTAATTTGATCCAGAACGTACTTAGTCGAATCCACAAAGTAAACTAAGTGCAGATTTATTGTTAAATCTGTTTCAATGCGGATAAAAATGTGCTGAAAGTATGTGGTTGACCAAATAATTTCATTATAAATTTTCGGCTTCTGGTGTGGGTGTGGGTTTGAAATCAAGCGCTTAACAGTCAATGTGTGGTGCCTTTAGGAAACATTTGAAGGTATTTCAATTAATTATCATTAAGCCAACATATGTGGTGATCAGTAGACAAATTCTGCATAATCTACATATGCATATGTACGTTGAAAGGAAGGGACAACAATAATCGTAGAGGCAAGAAAACATTTGGCCTTATCTCAAAAACCACACTTCCTCTTGGTCAGCCGCAGCTGCGTTCATATCATTATCCAGACACTCTATAAATACAAAGAGGATTGTTCTTGTATGGTACTATAAACGGTTCTGCAGCGTTAACAAGTGGTAATTAGCAAACATTAATGTGCGTGTGTAGTTCAGGTCTAATAAGTAACTAGTTCTGAAATAAAGTGAACATTTTGGAGATTTATCGCATGCAATAAGGCTTTTCATTGGGCGGCTAGCGTGTTTCAACTGCAAGCTGCCTTTTGAAGGGCATAGTTGCTAGGATTTGTGCATAATAATTATTTTTATTCTCGAACCTTTTTAGAGCGATCTTTAGTTAGTTAAAGTGTGAGTGTGTGAACTATTTCCTGTTTGATAAGACACATTTTCCTCCAAGTGAGCACAAGCTAATCGTGGTAATCTAAGTGGTTTCACCTACGTGGCGGCAAAAACTATTATTTGAGCTCCTATTGAAGCTTGTCGGAAATAACTATCAACACTTTTATAATTTTTTATAGTCTGGTTGTGGTCCTTCGAGCGAGAAGCCAACGATCATTTTCTATAGTGTTTGGTTTAAAAGTTTTTGTTCTCGCTCGCACACATTGACGGAAAATGCTTGTTGTTTGACAACGCTGTCCCAATAGAGGATCAGTAGGCTTTTGTGGCTTCTGCTGGAAGCTGACTAATTATTTTCCACGACTGCCTCAAAGTCCGGAAAAGACACCAGTTTCAGGCAATGGTAACGAAAGTTGAATTTTTCCTATGGTATAGTGAAACCGTTGAGTTTTTCGGGCTTTGAAGTCAAGGTTGAAAATAATTTATCCCTGTTTTTTTGCCTCCGTTTGACTACTTGCTCAAATTCTGAAGCAACTTAATTTTCTTCTGTTTCTTGTCAAAAAATCATAAAAATGTCTTATCCTCGATTGGACTGAAATTCGGCAATAAGAAAGAATGAACAGAGACAAGTACTTGTCTCTGGAATGAAGTCTTCTTGGTGGGCCTTATAATTTAAAGTTATTATCTGAACCAGTTTTGAAGTAATGATTAAAAAAAAAATCAATGTCAACTTTTTATGTTTGCCGCTCGTCCGACTCACTTTTGACCGCTCTTGAAAAAATCAGTCTCTTTTTAGATTTTACTGAATTTTTGCAGGCAAAGAACGAGAATATTTCTTTGTGGTCCTTCAAAGTTTCAGCTTGCTACCTGATCAGGTTTTGAAGCTACACTTAAAATAGCATCACACTGTCCACTCTTCACCTTTATGACTTGGGGTCTCTAAAAAACTGTTTTTTTTGTTCGACTTGACTCATTGTTCTCAGGTAAAGGGAGTCAAGGGTTTTGAGTAGACAACGAAATTCCAGACCGGAAAAACTCCTGTAAGGAACGGGCTGCGTAAAAAAAATATTTTATTAAAAAAAAATGTATTAAATTAAAAATAAATGTATTAAAGCCTCATAAGTTGTAAGAAACTACAAAAATGTGCATAAAAAATTTACTTTTAATAATATTAGTAGTAATTAATATTAACAAAATTATCATTGTAAGCTGACTTCACTCTGGTCGTCAATTCAAATATAGGACAAATGAAAAGTGAGTGAAGTGTGTCAAAAATGGACGAAGGGGTTGGAGAGTATCCAGTACACAAAGCTGTTTTTGATAATGATTTACCAAATTTATCAAAATATTTACGCAAATACGATGTGGCAGCAAAAGACAAACATGGCAAGTATCCACCAATTATCACAATTTTCATTTGAGCCGATCAATTCCAACGGAACGCTCATGTTAGGTTACAATTGCTGTCACAGGATTGTTTATTTATCGATTTTTAAGTGTTGTTTTCGAAGAATACACTCATTTGATGCGAATATTGCAGAATGCATTGTTATAGTCACTATAGACTTGGTGGCTGAGGTTTGGGCGTGATTAATGTATGCTTTTCTTTGCAGGAAACACCGCCCTGCATCTGGCTGTTATGCTGGGACGGAAAGGTAAAATTCCTATTTCAATTTGATACCATTTAGCAAATTATATGGAATTGGTTGTCTTATCACTAGCCAATTGTTGCTTTTATCTGATAAAAACAATATTACATGTCATTCTAATGAAATATTACATACTTATAAATATGACAGTAGAGAGTTCCACTAATAAGCACGTTAATCTATCTCTTAAGGCTTATCCTAACAATCAATCAAATACTGATGGGCAGCACGTTAACACTAAGCTCGGGAATCTACACATTAAAATATGGGAGATTTAAAAAGTAGGGTTTTTTTTCTTCAACAAGACAGACACTAAACAACTGAACTTTTCATTGACCAATGTCCCAATGTTTTAGAATGCGTTCAGCTCCTTTTAAATCACGATGCGCCCGTGAAAGTGAAAAATGCCCTAGGCTGGACCGTGCTGGCCGAAGCAGTAAGTTATGGACATCGGCCTACAAGTAATAGTGATTTTACCGCATACTTGTTTCATAATTTGCTGAACTTGTGCCGTTTTCCCTTCAGTAATGTCCCTAGTGCGAAAATTTCGGCAACAATCCAAGGAGCAAATGGAGCAGAGACGACCCAACTTAGTGGCAGCTTTAAACAAAATCGACAACTTCTACATGGAATTGAAGTGGGACTTTCAAAGCTGGGGTAAATCCGTGGCTTTGTTAAACTGGCAAATTAGTAGCTTTGCGATTTTTTCCAGTTCCCCTGGTCTCGCGAATTTTGCCATCAGATGTTTGCAAGATTTACAAATGCGGAGCCAACATTCGATTAGACACCACTCTGGTCGATTTCTCCGACATGAGGTGGGAAAGGGGCGATATTTCGTTTATCTTTCGAGGCGAATCCCCTCCAACTGAAAGCCTCATTGTGGTGGACAATGTGGGCCAACTATATCAAAGAGTCAGTTACGAGGTATTGTCGCAACTTTTCCGCCGCTGAAAAACCATCACTTGGCTCTATTGCAGGAAAACGAATTAGAGATCGAAGACGAAGTGAATCTCCTCATGTCCACCGATATTCTGGCTGCCCAGATTTCCACAAAACGCATTTCGTTTGCTCGCGCTCAAAGCGGATGGATTTTTCGCGAAGACAAGAAGGTGAAGAGTCTTGCGGAGCGGTTGAATTGAAACTATCTGAGGATTGTTTGCAGGAATTGGTAGCAGGGCAATACGAAGCCGATCTCTACACAGTGCATGGTCTGACTTTGGAGAGCAGAAAGCGGCGCGAACATTTATCAGCTGATGATTTGGAAAAGAATAAAGCCATGTTGAGCCATTTTACGAAGGGCACTTACAATAACGGCTACAGCGAAGTAACGATTGGCTCAGTTGCTTTGGATTCACTGAGTAATCAATTTTGTGTTATAGAACGTTAGGAGGTCGAGTCTAACGCCCCCGCCGGATAAAAACGTTTCGTGGGACGAATACGTTAATGCTGAAGTTAACAACTATCCTAGATTGGGCAGGGATATCGTCTACAAGGAATCATCTAAGCACTTTAAAGCAACTGTCGCAATGGTAATTATTATCTTTTTCCGTGTTCAGCAGGGAAAAAATATTTTTGTTTGGCCGGCCGCAGATGTGGCCTATAAACCACGGAAAACTTTTCAATCAGTCGAATTAATATTTCAAAAGCATCACATCGATGTCATAGTAGTGGATCTAAATCGGTTTTATTTATTTCAGAGCAACGATTTCCCCTTATCGGTTGAAATGCTGTTAAATGTGCTAGAAGTGATTGCACCATTCAAGCATTTTTCCAAACTGCGCGACTTTATCAACGGAAAGCTACCCACAGGATTTCCGGTAAAGATCGAGCTGCCAATTCTGCCTACTGTTACGGCCAAAATCACATTCCAAGACTTTGAATTCAGAGATGATCTAACCTCATCGATATTTGGTATACCGGATCTATATGTAGAAGATCCATCCAGGTAAGAACCTTTTCTAATTATTTTCTTCCTCATTGTAATTTTTTTTTTCAGATTCCCCGACTTATGACGTCCTGAACTGACCAGTTGCTTCAAGCTCCATTTCGAGCCCAAACCTCAATTCCTGTCGCTGAGCGAGCGCAGTCGGACTCAGATAAAAGGGTCGCGAGCTCGCTATAGGATAAAAGGTGCTCCTATCAATCTGAAACAGGATGACGGCCCGGTCATATTCCTCGAGGTGCCGATGCTTTTCACTCTGGGCAGCGTTTATGGGGCCAGCTGTCTGGTCTATGTAGAATAGTTCGCTTCTTATGTGTTCGTCTCACCGGTAAGTAGTTCAGAGAAGCATTTGGAATGCCTTCAAGTGTTCGTGCTGTATATTTAGCCCTGGTTTAATTTTCAGTGCCTAAACTGTTCTTTTGTGGTCTGTCCATTCCAGATGGCTTCTCAAGTGCTTTATATTACTTATAAACAATAAATCGTATTGCTATTTTATTACTTTTGCTGCGAAAGTGGCCTGTAATACTATTTATTTTAGTTAATTTTTTTGTATATTGTTTTATCTGCGATGGGAAGAGTGATCTAATAAAGAAACCCATGACTTCCATCGCAATTAAAACATGTTTATCTGTTTGGAGTTTTCTGGAAAAAGCATGCCGATGTAGCCCATTATGTATATTATTAATGCCTTCAACCTTCAAGCCTTTATACTTTCACTAGCCTAGACATACGATACTTTCGACAATCAAAAACCTGCCCATATTGATTTAAACAGTTCCAAAAGCTGAAGGCACTGGATATACATAATTTCGATTATATTGGTGGTTTACTTAACTCGATTACTTCGATAGACCAAGCTGAAATCGCTATAGATGTCATAGCAAATGGTACTTAGATATTACAGGGTCTTTTCAAGTGAACTTTATATGTTGTTTGGTGGTATTGTAGCCGATTCAAGTGATTTGTGTGTGTAGTGTTGCTGTAGTGGGGTTTTCAGCTTGTTTTCGAACAGTTTATAAAATAATCATCAGCTTTGGAAACGGGTTTATTCAAGCAAAGTCCCACTTACACTCCGAGGCGATGAAAACCTCCTTCCTTTTCATTGCTTTCCTTCAACCAAGCAACCTGCTAATCAATAAGGAAATTATACAGTAATTTATCATGGAATTAAGGAGACAATGTTGCTTTAAACATATCAGCATCGAAGTCCAAATTAGTGTTTTCATAAGGAAAGTAGCCAGCTTTTTTATTTCTCCCAGTGCAAACGTGGATGGCAACCATCGAAATCTGATTGTTTGTTGATTGGATTGCGAGATTTGTTTTGCAGTATTAGATGTTACGAATTGACTGTTTAATTGCTATCTAAGGGAGTTGGTGTGATTTTCTAGACTGTGCCATTAATTATTACACTAAACAACCTGTTTACAACTACAAGAGTTGTTTTGTTTGGTAACCTCCGTCCTGTTCCTGCAAGATTTATGCATTTTATTTAGTACATCAACTAGCAATGGATGCGAAGTAAAGCAGGCATCTAGTTTGGAAGATTTCATTAACTCTGTTACTGTTTGACGGCTGTAGAATGTATACTATTAAAGTGTTAACTGTAGGTACGTTGTACTGACTATAATATTGTAAATAGAGCTTCTATATTAAATTAATGTTTTCATTCGGTTGTTTTATGCAGTTTGAAGCCGTAGTTATCAAGCAACCGACAATAAATTGTTTAGTGTTCGTGCACTTTCCAACGTCTATTTTCGGTGGAAAAGCCAGCCTAAAATACCTTGCGCCACCCCGATTAGTGGATTGCTATTTTCTTTGTTTTCGGTAGTATCTGGAGTTGGCTTGCTGCCTGTTATCTCGGCCGTTTTCTCGGGGCATTTGTACATTTGGTTGATTTTCGTCAAGTCTCCTTTGCTGAATCCGTCGCGTTGGCCCATTTTCTCTAGTTTCGATGCGTCCTAAAATATGTTTTTTTAATCGGCACACATTGATTAATTGAACATACCTTGGGAATGATCGTTTTCCTTCCATTCACTGAAAACGCCGTACTTGAATAATGCATAACCGATCTGTAGTCATACGGCACCCCATATCCTGTTGTTTTGTCTTCATCGGCCTTATCGAAGTTGTTCTCGTGCCCTAAATGAGAACGTTTCAGATTCATTTGAGTGAGTAAAGGTAATGAAACAAACCTTGTCTGATGTTCTGCCATGCGATGGAAACGAAGTCGTCGCGTTCGGCGCGGTTTTGCTCGTGCAAAAAACCCACAGCGTGCATGAGTTCGTGAACGGGAGTTCCCACCTTGGTAGTGCAGGAAGGACTTTGAAGATTCACCTCCTGCTTGCCGCCGATGCGGCCAACACTGGACCAACACCCTGTATGGGTATTGACTATTGTTAAGTAGTCGGTATCTGAAGCAGTGCGCTTGCGGAATCTGAAAACAGGTGAGAAATTGATCAACTAATTGTATTTTTCTTAAATTCGTGCTTACTTAATGCAGGTGTATTTGTGGTAAATGTTGATTGCCCGATTGATCATGTTCAGGCTGTCTGAATCGAAATTCCCGTTGATTTCATAGGGAATTACGCCCTTCGGCCACCTGGTAATAAAACAAGAATTAATTGCCAGAAAACATTCCAAATCCCCTTACCTAGCAGTTTGGGAAACCAGGCCGTTTCTTCCCTTTTTAGGAAACACTATATCTCCCTCAGCATATTCGCCCAGTTCTTCCGGATTCAGTTCCGAAGTTGCGTTCCACTCCTCCAAAAGCTTCCCAGTCTCAAGACTGGGATTTCTAAGATGCAAGCAGCATAAAATTAAACCCTGCGGATGAATGGCACTACTCTAAACCCCTACCTATAAACTCTATCCCCTAAATACGATAAATCTGGCATAGAATCCGCATCATAGTCCAACGGCAGGGCTTGAATTCTCCTCAACACACACAAAAACATCAACACACTAAAGCAAAGTAAAACCATTTTCCTCAGAATCGAACATGAAAATTGCACCTGTTTTGGATAGGAAAAATTAGGCGACTGTTAATAAATTGGGGAGAAGTTGTTTATATTTCGATTGCTTATGTTAATTGCAGAAGTCACCTACACCGTTATCAGGCTTACATTTAAATTTCAGAGCACTAAACAAATTTAGTGTTTCTATGTGGTGCAATAGAACGGCGATTTTTATCTTTTAGATAGTTTAGTAACTAATCAGCGGAATGGGATTAAAAGAAGTTTTCAGGAAAACTACTAATTTCGGAGATAGTTAATGGGCTTTTTTAACGCAGAAGGAATAATTAATGAGTATACGCAGCTCAGTGCAAAATATGCAAACTTGAGACCTAAATATTTATCAAAATGCGCATGAATTAGTAGATAAATAGGGTGTTTCCGGAACACCGCGCCGATAAAGCCGAAATCGGGGTCTCAAACAAGATCGAGCTTTTAAATTAGCTGTGGCCTAAAACGCAACATGCTATAAAATTATACCTTTATTTCATTTCACACTTAAAAAATTTGGCTCTAGATGGAATAAACTATTGCTTTTTGTCATCACCTTTATATTTACACTATTAGCGAACCACTGGACGAACTGGACTGGACATTGCAAGCAGGCAAATTATTCACGTTTGATGGGTATCCATCAGCAGAACACCATTGGCATCTTTGAGCCGCACTCTTCCATTTGCATATACAGTTTCAACAGTCCCGTCCTTATGGAGAGTCCGTATTGTGCCGTCAGGGTATTCTCTTCTCTGAAACCGAACAATGCCGTAAAAGAATAAAACCGGGTTTTATTTTCACCTTGTATTCCTGAGTGTGGATTTCCCTCTGTCCATTAGGCAAGAAAATGATCTGCTCGCCTTGCAGATTCTTCAGCGTTTTCCGACCATCTGGGAAGGTTTGCTCTTCAGTTCCATCCTCATTGATTATTTTTAATGACCCATCCGGGTACGCAACTTCGGTTTTTCCGTTGGTGTATTTGGTGCTTTTGTGGCCGCTAAAACCAAAAAACCTGTAATTCCACTGGTGTTGGGATTAATTCAACCTACTCTTTAAACTCCATTACTTCAGTGCCATCAGGGTGCTGAATGTGCCACAAATCAGTAGCCGCATAATAGTACCTAAGAAAATAAGCAAAACACCCAAAAACTCGAATTAAACCGGATGATTACTTGATCGTTTGGCTGTTCAAGTTGGTTTCCTTGGTGTCGCCGTTGAAATACTTCATTCTAATGATTTTCCCATCGGCGGTTATTGTTTTGAGATTGCCATTGCTATAAATAACCTCCATTGAACCGTCAGCAAGGGTTTTTTCAGTTTTTTCTTTAAAAAAACAACAGCAGAGTATATTGTGGGTATTTTAGCTCGTGTTCCAATCGTCTTACCTACACTGGTAGAGCAGTTAACATTTCGAGGACTAGCAAAGTTTCCAAATATGCTCTGATACTCTCGCTCAATTGACTCACTGTTCATTGGCAGGTCTTGGAAGGAGACTCTATTTTCCATTTTTCTCTCCGAGACATCGCGTCCGATTTCCTAAGAGTTCAGCCTCAATAAACATCTAAAATCTATTTTTTTTTACTACCTGATTGTTTATGTTCTTCACAACCTTTTCATTCTCCTTATTCGATTGCCCGTTGATATTGTCATGTTTCCTATCAACATTTATTTCCTGGTCCTCTATGTCGCCATGGCCGGACTTGTTTAGTGGCTTTGTCAAGGTTTTCTCGGTCAGTTTTGATAGATTTTTGTTGATTTCGTGCAGCATTTTCACTTCATGCGGTCGCCGCGTGTACTTCTGACTGGCCCTGAAGAAATTGGAAAAACCGTTATCTGGAAAACTACAAAATACACGTGAAGTCTCACGTTAATTTGGCGTTTTCCCTTTGCAATTTCTCTACTGTAGATTTCAGTTCGAAAATTTCCTTTTCCTGTTGTTTCACTTGCGTTCTTAGTCTGGCCTGAGTGGCGCCGCTTTTGGTGTCTTTCAGTTTCACCAATTCCTTAATGTCTGCTAGTTCCTGTTTGAGTTTCTGGATTTCCGCGCGGTCTTTTTTCGATGGTCTATTTTGGGCCTCTTTCACATAACTGGAATTTACGTATTGAGTCGACATGAACATTCAAACCTCAACCACAGGTTTACTTCTCGAAAAATATCCTCTCCTTTGCAAATTTCTTGCGCTCGCTGATAAGTTCCTCTTCCAGTTTGTCCAGCCGTTCCTCATTCGTGGCGTCGTCTTTTTTCTTCAGCTTCTTCAGCGTGTCGTACTCCTTTTGCAAGTCTTTCAGCTCAGATCTCTGGGCGGCATTTTCCGCCTTAAACTCGTTTACCCTCAATTTGGTCTCTGAATATCTCGCTCTAGAAAAGCCAAACAAAATTCTACTTGGGGATTTGAAAATTCCGAATAACGCACCTCAAATCCTCGCACTCTTTGCATGATTGGGGGCCCTTGATAGTTTCATCCAGCGGCAAAGTGTTAAAGCTGGTGTTGATGCCGACATCGATTTTATTGGAAGTTTCGCATGTTGATTCGAATTCCGTGTAATTGTCACTTAGGCTCGGCGATCTGGAAGACCAGCGGGTGTTTTCATCGGAGAAACTTGTGCTGGTGGAAATTGTTTTGTCCAGCTTGGTTACTAAAGGTGAAAGTCGATTGTGTAAAATTGCAAAGGGTATAGTGATGGAAATACCTGGTTCAGGGTGCGAGTTGGTGTTTTGTAAGTTGATCAGAAACTGCTGAAGAACGTCCCTTTGCCTACACACTTCCTGCAGCTTGATCTTGATGTTTTCTGGTATATACTTCAACATTGCGTCTTCGGATATATCCAAGCTTTCATCCTCTGTCAGGGCTTCAAAAAAAAAACATTTTTCAACAATCTGATGTATTGTTCTTAGTAGTAAAAGTACCATTTTGAATATTTTCCTCGTCTCCGAGCCATAGTTGCGTTTTTTGGGGCGTACTAGTACTAGCTAGTAAATTCGCAATGCTGGTGTTCGTCGAACAAAACGAGCTGTTGCCTACTTTGGCCTCTAATGTTTCAAATATCTTCAGTTCCTTTTCCATCTTGCGTTCCTCTAGAGTAAACTCCCCGAGAGGTTTATCGGTTTTTGGGGCATTTAATCCTGATAATTCGCCCCTAGAAGACGTTGGTTGTTCATGAGATAAAAAGGGCTACAGACGCTAAAAACTCACGGGATTTCATTGGAAAGGAGGGAAACTTGGCCGCCAAAGTACGATTTGGCGTAGTCGTTGACGGTTTGCAAAATTTCCTTGTTCAATGGGAAGAAATGGGAATCTGCGCAATTTTGCCGCTCGCTTTCTTCAGCATCACTTTGACTATCTGGGGTTTCTGAAATGATTGAAAACTCCTATTGCGGGTGTTTTCCTCAGAGAGTGAAACCAAAAATGTGCTTACTCATTATGTGGTTGTTACTGGGGGTTTTGTACAAATAATCAGTCTGGACAGTTTCACCGGCCGCAAGCGGGGCGATTTCGTCCAAGCCGAGACTTTTCCGGAAGTCCTCGTAGTTCTCCACAATTCCATAATCCGGCTCGAAGTCTCTAGAAATTGCGCCTGAATCCTTCGGTGAATCCTTGCCGGTAGTCTCAAAGACATTTTTCCACGTTCCACGCGGTTTTACAAAATCTGGCACTGTTAAAGGACTCAGATCCACTTCAGGATGGGCGGGTTTTTTCAGAATGCCCTTCCTTTCAGCTGCTTGGTTTTGTTGCTTAGCAGTTGAGGTACGTTTGGGCCGATTCAGCCCTAAAGAAGAAACATGCTAGTTAATTGCAAGTACAATTCGCAACAAATCGCTAAATAGAATGATTAAACTGGCCATATTTTGTAAACTTGTCTTCGTCGTTCCATGTTAGATGCTTAGAAGGTTCAGCCATAAATGCTTTCTTTATTCGCTCACTGTATAGCAACATAATGTCATTTTTCTGAAATTTTATCGACTGCCAATTTTTCTTAATTAAATTTCGCAAGTTTTTCCTTTTTTCTCTGTCGAAGAATCGCCGCCTCAATGCCTGTTTTAAGCAAATCCCTCAAACGAATAAGCAAATTGCCTCAGCAGTGGGGAATCAGCCTGGTAGCGCTCAGAAAACAGTCCTGGTGGAGCCAAATTAAAGCAGGAGCCCCTGACCCAATCTTCAGCGTAACGGAAGCCTACAGGGCCGATGCGAATCCCCAAAAAGTCCTGCTAGGAGTAGGAGCTTACAGAACTGATGAGGGTCACTGTTGCATGTTCGTTTGAGAACCTTCTTCCAAAAGTGGTCGTTTTCAGGAATGCCGTTCATCCTGCCCTGCGTTCAAAGAGCAAAAGACATGTTAGGGGAGCAGAAGCTGGATCATGAGTATCTTCCACAGGGCGGATATTCAGAGTTTAACAGAGCGGCCGCTCGACTAGCGCTAGGCGAAGAAAGCGATGTTCTGAAGAACGGTCTGAACCTCACTGTTCAGGCGCTAGGAGGAACTGGTGCTATTCGACTGGGGATGACATTTTTAAGCCGTTTCCATACTGGATGTAAGGTACCTCGTCATTATTGGTACATTTTTTCAAAAAAGTCGCTTTACATCCTCTTCCTATCCCCAATATCAGGTAGTGTACATTCCAAACCCCACATGGAACAACCACAAGAACATAAGTCTGAATTCGGGGATGGAATGGAAGTTCTACAAGTATTACGACCCCGAACAAAAAGGGATGAACTTCTGTGGCATGTGCGAAGATATAGAAAACATCCCGGAAAAATCTATTATTCTCTTCCATGCCATTGCCCACAATCCCACGGGATTCGACCCCTCTCCCGACCAATGGAAACGGCTCTCAAATCTCTGCATGGAAAGGAACTTGTTTGTCTTCTTCGACATGGCGTATCAAGGCAGGACAGGCTCGAACGGCAATGCGCTCTTTACCACAAAATGTTTACAGGATTTGCTACGGGAGATGCGGAAAAAGACGCCAGTTCAGTGCGCCAATTCATAGAAGACGGCCATCAAGTGGCCGTAGCTCAAAGTTTCTCCAAAAACATGGGGCTGTATGGCGAGAGGATTGGAGCCCTTACTTTAGTAACCAGTAAGGACTCAGCTCAACTTCCGTGCTAATGAATGCTGGTTAAAATCCCCTTGTAGCATCGAAGGAAGAACTGGAAAGGGTAAATTCCCAAATGAAAATCGTCATTAGAGCAATGTACTCAAATCCGCCGCTCTATGGAGCGCGCATTGTCTCTCAAGTGCTCAATGAGCAAGCTTTGAGATGCCAATGGCTCAAAGACATCCAAGGTGACTCTGTATAATGTAGTTTCATTAAAAAGCTGACTGAATTTTTTAAAGGTATGGCCAATAGGATTCAAAGTGTACGACAGCTGCTGGTGGCCGAACTGAAGAAAGTTGGCTCGGAAAAAAATTGGGAACACATTTGCAAGCAAATTGGAATGTTTAGTTTTACAGGTAGGTGAAACTCTGATTTAAGAAACTTGGCAGTTGTTGTATCTGTTTCAGGACTGAACAAGGAGCAAGTGGAAAAGCTAACAAAAGAGCACAGCGTCTACCTAACAGCAGACGGCAGAATTTCAGTAGCTTCCTTGGGAGGAAAAAACATTCCATATGTTGCAAGGGCCATACATGAAGTGTCGAAGTAATCAAAGTGTTTGCTGAGTTGTAGTTACCCGTTTTTCTCGCCCCTACCACTCGCAGTTGATTGTTCACTAAACTACACGGCCCCATTCTGAACCTAGCCAAGCCCTGACCCTTTCTCAGGAAGGGTTTTTTTGGTTTAACGGCTGCTCCAGTTGGGGGGTTATCTGCCAACTTTTCCTCCAGCAATTGCTCGAAGGGCTTCGGGGGCGCAATTTTCTTCTGGTCCCATTCGCCGAGATTCACTGAATTAAAGCTATCCTGCTGAGAAGCGGTTTCGATGTGATTTTCCGGTTTATTCCTCGACTGTTGAAGAAGGTTGTCATAACTGCCTTGCCACTGCTTTAAATCCTGCAGCCTGACAAGGCTGAGCGATGGCGAAAACGACATGCCGAGGGATCAAAAAGGGTTTATCATTACACACTGGAAATTTTGAATGTTTGAAACACTTTTTTGTTTTGTGGACGTTACAAGTTGTCACTGATGCCAAAAGTCTTTGGTTAGGGGAGGAAATTGGAGGTTAGCTTGGGACAAAGTGGGGTTTAGACCTTAGACCCTAGACTAAGACTTAGTTAATCTATGGTTTAGACAGAGCCACAGACAGAGCAAAGACAACAAGAGACTTCATTCTGTCCATAGATAAAGACGAGTGATTCTGTCTACTTGCCTCTGTTGTCCCCACCACAGATTACATACTATTGAATTACTAGAGAGCCTTTTTTACAGGGGTTTTATTAAGTCCTGTTCACAAAATATGCCCCCGGGGTCTGTGGTCTTGTTCTATGCGAAGAGTGAGTAGTCTGTGTTCTATGCATAGATAAAGACGAGTATTTCTATGGTCTTGTTCTTTTAGCTCTTGTTTAAAGTGCAAGTGTTTACATTTGTTGACGGTGGGGCCCTAGTATGACTGCTATACTTATTCTTTTTATGATCTTTTATCTGTAAGTCATGGTTTTCGTGTTAAGGCATGTTACAAATGGTAAGTCCCTTTACCATGGTCAATTTTTTGAAAAGTTAATGGGTGTTGCTGTTTAGGGGAAGTTTTACTTTTGGGGATGAATGAAACGTACACTTTGGGGCGCAGCCGGCGGAATAGCATCCATTTGAAAGATGCCACCGTCAGCAAGAAACATGCCACCATCAAACTTGCTGTAAGTAGATGTGTGTTGTGATCGTTAAGTGTGGGAAAACCGCCAGTATTTTTTAGCCCAAGTTCCACTGAATGGGGTGGTTATAATTGAGTTATAGGCAAACGGGCTCTGTAGCTCAAATGTTAAGATAGGATGTATAAGATGCGGCGGCAAGTATGACGATATTTCACAAGTTGCCAAAAGAGCGTATAACTAGAGTTATTTTGAAATTTTGGCTGTTTATGTGAAAACAACGAATATTTCCCAAATAATGCTTCACTTCGTAAATGTGCCACTTAGTGCGCTATCAGGTGGTGTAGAAATGAACGCGCTAGCACAATTTGTTCCTGAAATATGAGTAAAATGGTGTCGTCATGCTTGAGCCTATTTCGTACGCTCTTATTCACAAATAAGCAATCTTAAACAATCGCACTTGAAGTATCTGAAGGTATTTGAGAAAAAGTCTCATTATAGGATGGCCACGTTGACCTGGAAGCTGAAAATTTTGCTAATGGAACTTGGCTGAATAAGGCGAGAATCCAAAGACCTCAGCGGCTGCAAAGTGGAGACGTTATTCTCTTCGGGGACCAAGATTGCAAATATGTGTAGGTGCAAATTAAAGTCCTCAACACCGCACGGTATAAACGTGAAACCTTAGTTTTCTAGATCCTAAATTCGAGGCTATAATCGATGAACGAATTGACACAATTTCCAGATTTGCACTAGAGTTAACTCTAAATAATTTGAATGTGAAAATAGCGACTGATTATGCATCCACTTGTACCCATTTCATTACTAAACTCGTTACAGTTGATGGTCTAATGAACGGACCAATGCTGTACTTTCTCATAGATAGGAAGAATGTGATTACAATGAAATACTTTATGGACATTCTGACCAACATTAGAGAAGCCCCGTTGGTTCCCAACATTTACAGATACATGCCCCAAGTGGATGATTTCCTCAAAAGCAAAGGCATTGTGGATATTAATCCGAGAAAGAATCGGAACTTTTTATTTGATAATGTTTTTTTTATCATATTTGATCCACAGCTGCATGACAGAGTGTGCCCCCTCATTGTAAAGTGCGGTAAGAGACTGGTCTTGTTTGCCAGGCGTGTCCAGTGAAGGCAATTGACTTTTTCAGGTGGCGATACTGCAATCTACGTGAAAGGATTCAATTTCTACAATAATTTATTCGAATACTGGAAAAGATATCTTTACATTGCGGTCCTGGATTCAGAGCATAGGGATTGTGAGCAAATGAAAGAGTTCTCTGCAGCAATGCGCCTCAACGGCAAGCGATTTATGACCCTTGAACCTCGTGATATTTACGTTCAGATCCTTAAAGGAGACTCTGTTATGGAAATTGGAAATGCAGATGTAGGTAGGTTGACTAATCGCATTTGAGCAGTCAGTTGGAAGTAAGACCTCTTAATAAATTCTTTAGTGTATTTACCGAACACGCCCCCGCCAGTGATCGTTCTGGATTCATCAGATGATGAGGAGTTATTGCCTGAATTGGATAATCAAGCAGACGAACCCGCTAAACCAAAGAGTCCAAACATCCCGTCGCCTTCACGGCGATTGCTTAAATCCTACGAGCCTCTCAAAAATGAGCTCAGCTTTAGGGAATATTGTTTGAGGACAAATTCACAATCTTCCACCTTAAATAAGTGGATAACAAGGTCAGTACTTTGGGGTATAGAAGGCCCAACTGAAGAGTATGGGTATTGGTATTGGTATTTTGACTGTATTTCTAAGGCTGTTTGGGATGGACAATTGAGTTTTTGTACACGTTTTGGAGTCAGTAGTTTAGCTACAGATCAATGTCCACACATTTATGAGAAAAATGACTAGGTTTTACTTTTCAGTCCAAAAAAGAAACGTCCGTCTAAACAAACCAAAGATGCAGATGAAACAGCGATTGAAGCCACACCGCAAACTGAAGTCTCTACGGCCAGTAAACAAGATGAACAAACCCCGCCTGTAGCGAGGTCTGAGAAAATTAAAATCGTTCAAGTTCTTTTAAATAGAAGCCGGCCAGGCTTTAGTTTAGATAACAGCCAGCAAGCATGTAATTCCGCAGACGATTCGCAAACGTTTAGTCGCACTCAGGTAACACCCACCAATTTGTTTAAAAAACTTAAAGAGGATAACACGAGCCCGTCCGAGGATGTATCAGATTGCTCATCAGATAGTGAAATTTTTTTTAGAGATTGTAAATTACTTATTGATTAACATCTGAGTGAAGCAATAAACTTGTACTTGATTTGTAACTGAACGTTTCCGATAGTGTTCGCGCTTGAAGAGCGGGAGATTTCGGGCAGTCTCGCTAAAAAGCGTCCGTTGAACTTCCGTCGCAAAATGGATAAGAATGCGGGCGTTTTGATAACGCCATGGATGCATTTTTTAATCTTCCAGAGAATTTCGTTAGTTCCAGCCCTATTCATTTGTTAAAAAAATATGAAACCCATTATCCGCGCGAGAGATTTCCTACTATCCGTTGCGGTTATTTTAATTATTTGCGACAAAAAAGTCAAGTGTTTCACTAGTGAAGATGTGGCAAATGATCTGAAATTCATCAAGATTTGCAAATCCAATTCGCCTCCAGGTGCTTGTGAGTGGTTTTTAATTCATTAATTATCCGCAACTGTATGTGGAAATGTCCTAGATTCCATGAACGATGTGCTGGAGACGAAAAACGCGGAAAATACGCATTCAAGAGCTTTCAAATGTTTCTTGCACTGTTTGCTGACCAAATACGGCTGGATGGACGAAGACGGAGGGTATTTGCTGCATGATATTCGGGAAACTTTGCAGCAAAGTGATGTCCAACTGGCCACTTTGGAGTATATTCTATACACCTGCACGGCCGTTAAGTCTTCCGATAGGTGTCAACGAGCGCATTCTTTCACCGAGTGTTTCTGGAAGAAAATGGACGAGGTAAAATCAATGTTCTTATATATTCCAATCTTTGGAATCTAGTTTTTTTTTAAGGAACAACCCACTGCAGATGAGCTATTTTATAACGTGAAGACCAGGAAATAGAAATATATGGCTAATAAAATTCTTAACCGATTGTATGTTTTTATTCTATTGGCTACCCGATAAACCTTCCCTAGTGATTTAACAGATTTTTCGTCCATGAGAATATTGCAAAATTCCGCATAAGCCCAAGAGGGCGTTGCCAAACTTTGCATTATCTTGGTGTGACGTTCCATTTGATAGACGTCATTGAAATCAAACAAACACCTCTTGCAGATTAATTCCTTATTTCCTCATATTTAAGAACAAAAGTACAATAATTCCACATATTTATAATGGTAAGCTGCTGATAAAGGCAGGTTATTGCTGACATTAGAAGTTTTCCAGCTAGTTTTAGTTTTGGGAGATTTGCACATTCCACATAGATGTAGTAGTTTGCCAGCAAAATTCAAAAAACTCCTGGTACCAGGAAGGATACAGCATATTTTGTGTACAGGCAATTTGTGCACAAAGGAATCCTACGACTATTTAAAAACGCTGGCCGTAGACGTTCATGTTGTCAGAGGAGACTTTGATGATGTAAACAACACAGCCGAATTAGTTTTATGTGTTTTAACTTGTGCATTTGCAGAACATCAATTATCCCGAACAGAAAGTGGTGACTGTTGGGCAGTTCCGAATCGGACTGTCGCATGGGCATCAGGTGGTGCCGTGGGGCGATCCTGAGGCATTAGGTGGGTGGTTTAGCACTAGGAAACATGTTTGTAGTAAGTTGGTTTTTATTACTCTTCAGCTCTTGTGCAGCGACAGTTGGATGTCGATATTTTGATATCAGGTCATACTCATAAGTTCGAAGCTTATGAACATGAAAACAAATTTTACATCAATCCAGGCAGTGCCACTGGCAGTTACAATGCTTTAGATATGTAAGTGTTTCTCAAGCCTCTTTAGTGGTAGGTTGACTAGCAATAACTTGTTATTTTTAGGTCTATCACACCCTCTTTTGTCCTTATGGACATACAAAACACTACAGTTGTAACGTATGTTTACCAGCTTGTAGGGGACGACGTAAAGGTAGAAAGAATTGAGTATAAAAAAAATTGATTTGGCCACCCAAGTCCCTTTTCAAACGCGAATATTTCTTATTATTGATAATTGAAGATTAAAGGTATAATTTATTAGGTACACTTTATACGAGGAAAATTATTTATTAAAGGACACTCCATTAATGTTATACACCGCTTATGTTACACCAAAAGAATAAATTTTTATTTACAGCTTAAAACCTGAGTGTATTGCCACTACTCCCAATGTTAAATTCTCGTAGCTCACCTGCCGGAAACCGGCTTCTTCAATCATGGTTTTGAATGTTTCCTGAAATTTGCCATTTGCCAACCAATTCACAATACTATACAGTGTGTCGCTTGTGGATTTGCTTCCAACCATATCCATTGGTTTACTTCCTCAAGAAACACCCGGTATTCTCACCTGCTTAGGAAATTGCCTTATACTCTCCACTAAATACTGATAGGGCTTCCATTGTCCAGCTAATAGTTGGCCTAGCACTGGAATCACTTGGAAACTGTACTGATCATATATCCTGAAATACTTGCCAAAGTAAGTGTGGATGATACTATAAAAATGTGTTTCAGAGCCCTGCTTGCACCTTCGAACTCGGCAATAGTTTAGCTTTGTTTTGGTAAGTATTGTATTCATATGTATTTTAATAGTTTTCCGGACAATCATTTTCTTAGCTCATTAGCAAGCTTTCAGAGTATGTATTTTCTTCTTCAGGATCTACCGCGAGATTCTTTTTCCGGGGAAGCGTTTATTCCGGGAAACTTTGCAAATTAATTACAGTATAAGAGAAAGCTTCCGAACTCAATAGCACATTTTTCCCAGAAAAATGGAAATAGGTTTTCCCAAAGCCTGACAATCAGGTCAAAAGCTTTTTTCGGTTAAATATTTTTCCTCAAATTTTCATGGGTAAAAACTATCTGAACTAATTGACTCAGAAATCTGTTTCGGTCTCCAACTCACCATTGTGCAGCTGCAATTTCCAACTGACTAAATTCCAGACACAGAAATCTGCCCCCAGGTTGCAACACCCTGTAGGCCTCACTTAACACCTTGTCTATTCGTGTACAGTTCCGGATACCAAACGCGATAGTGTATGCATTGAATGTGTTGTCCTGAAATGGTAGTTCCTCCGCATTGCCTTGAAAAACCCGAGTTTAACACACACATTTTCTGTATAGACGCCCAACTTGCCTTCCTGCCAGGCTATGGAATCGGGGCTAAAATTGAGCTGCCTGCTGCGCGTTTTTCCTACGTCCAACATGTGGGCATTGATGTCGGTGATTGTAACATGGCAATTTTTGATTTTGTATTCATTTACATACTTTAAAAAGCGAAATGCTATGTCCCCTGGTTATTGGGAGTGAAAAGGCTATTTAGGTGCGACACTCAATAGGAGGTTTAAGGCCTAGTTACCTGTCCCTCCGGCCACATCTAGTAGCTTTGTGTTTTCCACTGGACCCAATTTGCACATGAACTGATCTTTCCAGATTCGATGTATTCCAAGCGACATGGCGTCGTTCATTAAGTCGTAGTCTTTGGCTACATTTTCAAAGACTTTGTGAACTGGAAATTAGAACCTCAGAAGGTTGGAGCTTTCTCGCAAAATCGACTAGAAACCTTTTTGTTGCTTCTCACTTTCCTTGACAGTCTCGAAGCCAAAATGCGTGCTTTTCTCTTCGGCGCTTGGGTGGCTGCTAAGGCCTTTTATGTGCGATTTTATTAGGCTTTTGCAGAATGTTTTCCTACTGATCGCAAACATGTTGCTGTTTACAGGTTAGAAACCGTTTGCTTTCGGCAATATTTGGGGTTAGAGTTACAGTTTTGACACCTTGTCGGTTGCGTTTGTGCATTTGAGCGCCTAGATAAGGAGTTTTTTTGCCAATAACTTGTAAAATCCGCGAAATTTACCCAAACAATTAACGCAAAAATGTAGAAAAACGCGTTGTTTTTCGCGGGCGTTTTTCCGGATACCCCAAAGCCCCCAGTTTGGTTATAGACAAAATTTGAATTCCAACGCTAACTGGCCGATTGCCATTCAGATTTATATTGATATAATCCACCATAAGCCTCAAAACACCTTGAAACTATGCGATTTGGCGCGTTTTGGGATATTTGTGATACAGAAACCAGTTGAATAAAAACATGAAGTTCATTGGCGAACACACGTAACTTTGCCTGGAGTAGTTCAGCACATCTTCCACTTTCATTTCGATTACTTCGACGATTTCATGTTCCTCCACACTGCCTCCGCCCTGGCTGACTCTTTGTGCTTCAGTGACTTCGCAGTAAAAAAACGTCGATCGGGCCCCGGTGGTTTCGGACAAATTGCAAAACCTAAAGATCTGCTCCAAATCTTCGAGAGGCACTTGATAGCCGCATTCTTCCAGAATTTCCTCCTGGGCTACGACCTCTGAAGGGGCGTCTTTGTCTTCAAGGCCTGCACAAAACTCCAGGGTGATGGCTTGTTTCGGAGGATACTTGTTAGTGTCTACACTAGTGCGCTCTGCTTCAGGCACCAGTTGGTGAAACACTGAAGGCCTAAACTGCTTCACTAGCACTAGCATGTCCTTGGTTTTGTTGTAAAGCACTATCACAACCCCGTTTCGTTCCAAGAAGATATTTGCCTTTTTCGCCTGGTTGTTCTGCTTATAGTGGAGCGTGGCAGGCGTGGTGTAGATTGTTGGAATGTAGTCCGTAACGTGTACGTTGGAGATGTCTTCCATTGTAGTAACATGCACCCTCAATTGTTGGAAATCGGTTGCTAATTGCACTATTCATTGAGGTTGGGTTTTCACACGTAGTCAATTTTTCAATCTGCTTCACTGGAAACCTATACCCAGCTATTTCTGTTTCGGTTATCTACTGCAGGTGAAGTGGGAATTATCAGCGCCCAGTTTTCACGTTTAAATTACTGTGTTGCTCACCTTGATGCAGGTAATCCCCCGTTAACTTGGCCCCAAAACATGTTCAGACTTTAAAATGCTGGAACGCAGCTCTGCGTTCTTTGACATGGAAATAGTGTTGCAGCCACATATATCCTGTTATTCTTAAGTAATGCGTTATAGACTAAGAAATCGCGTTTTAACACAGGAAATTATTTGTAAATTCTCAGATTAAGGGAATTTGATGAAGACTAGTTCGAGTTGGAGCCAAAGTTAATGTTGACGTGTGTGTTAAGCATTTGAGAGGCAAGAGTTCGTCCCCCTAGTCACTTCAGGAAAAATTATTCTTCCGGTAGAGAAAATCATCCTCTATTCACTGGTTGAAACGCGAAATATCTGCTTTGATTTCCCAAACAGCAGTTGCTTCATTTGATGTCAACTAACTGTTTGAAAATCCTCCCAGTTCGTCCCTCTTTGGGCACTGCAGTGAAAATTTGCCTACTAGTTGGGAAAATCACCCTCTTTCACTGGTTAAAATGCGACAAATTTGGACGCAATTTTATTTTTAGAATTCCGCAAGCAGGAACAAGTATCCCAATACTTGTAAATAATTGAAAAATGTCTCCTTACTCCAGAATTTGAAGCTGAAACCACCCGGAAATTATTGGAAAATAACCATCACCTCTCCAGAAGAATGCGGTCGCTTTAACAAGCACTTTTTGGGGTATGTTTATAAGAACTTTTTTATTACTTTAATCCATAGAATTCCTGACATATTGATGTTATTTTCGATTACCCTGAATAATACTTTTATGTGTGAACCTTTGGCTTGGTTAGATTGGATTGGCCGTTATTCTATGCAAAAATTTTACTGTTTCAAAGTTATTTATTAAATTAGCATTATATACAAATGTGTGCAAAAAATCCAAGTTCGGCTCAGATCCTTTTGAGTACATGTTCATCATGCAAAAAGTATATCAATCAGTCTCCTAATTGCGATGGTTTATTTAAAAATGGCAATTTGCGGTCAATTTAAGAAAAATTCGTAAAATGTAATGATTGTCGCTTAAACTTCCAATGTTAAAACATATTGGTATAGGCTTGGATAGCAACGAAACTTGGGACATTATCAGAGCCATCCAAGGTTTATGATGATGGGAGGAAGTAAGTACAGGTATGTTGATCTTATTTTAAATTGCGATTGTAAACAAATTCGTCATAATTAGCAAATATATACAGGGTTGTTAATTATTGAATTTGGGCCACCTTTTTCGTGGGGTGCCTCAAATTCTAGAGCAGTTGCTCAACATTAACTTAATACCAACAACTTTTGTCTAAAATTAGGTATGTTTTCTCTTCCCCAAATTATACCAAGATTAATTAATAGATTCTACTTACTGCCTGTACAATGAATGATATTGGCTGTATCAGACAAATTCTCTATACTAAATTTGACTGCTGTTAAGGTTTCTATGACATGGATCGCTGTAGTCGTGTGTAGAGTGGTTTTGCCAACACGCACACGAGAAGGTCCCGAGGCTAAAGCCATGAAAATGAGCATTTGGTTCTGGCTATGTTCGTCTACGCAGCATTCCTGATCCAAAGTCTCTAGCAGGGCTTCTGCGGCTCGTTGCCCCGTTTGCTCCGCATCTTCTTTTCGGCTTCCTAGCGCATCCGACCCCAATATACAATCCGTGTCCGTATAAGCGGCCAAAATGATTCCCGAGGAATTATCGGGGGCCACATTGCGGTCTTCCTTGTATCTTTCAATGTTCACATTGGAACAAATTCTGGATAAATATTTCTCGGCCCCATCGGCGATTTTGTTCGCCAAAAATGCCGGCAGAGTTCCAGACACGAAGCTCCAGCCAGTGATGCTGGTTACCTTGCCCGGGTTTATCAATTGGACCCCATTTAATTGCTTAATTGGTTTTACATGTACCACGACCGCTCCACCTCCTTTAGGGAAATATCCCCGTCTGATCAATTCGAAATCATAAGTGGCGCCGAACTTCTCCATTATGGGGCGAAAAATTTCAGTGAGGTAATCGACTTGCGGTGCCATTTTCGTATTGGTGCCCCCAAATAAGTGAAGAGTGACGTCTGTTTCGGCGAATAATGCACAAGGCAGGGCCACTTGCAAGAGCAAACCAATACTGCCGGCGGTTTTGATTACGGCCTGAAATGAGCCCCCTACGATGTCGCCTGGACGAAAGAATATTTCGGTTGATCCAATAAATGCCCCGACGACAGTGCCGTTCGATAGGTCCCGCACTAGTTCGATGCACCGCAAATGCTGGTCTCTCAGTCCGGGATTGCTTCGTTTCTGTCGTATGTTGAAGATGTGGACGGATAATTTTTTCAGACAACTTATGGCTAAGGCCACACGTAAAATTTGCCCACCGCCTTCTAGCACTGAGCCATCAAGGCTTACCATGTTTTCCATTTCGATAAATTTGTTGTGAGACGTGTGTTTCTTAGGTTAGATTGTGGCTTTCGCTATCGCTCAGATCAACTTTGTATCGCTCGGACGCTTTGGAGCTACTGATTGTTCAACTGGTCGATGGTAAATAATGAACAGTAAATAACTCCAGTTTGAGGTTGGGGTTTATTGTCATTCAAGGATTGGAAAAATTAATTCAGGAACACTCGTGGTCAGTAATTACCCATTTTATTATATACAGTGTCTAAAAAACAGCCTCAACTGGATAAGGATGGGCTCAAATTTTTCCCTAGAACATTTGCTTGGTACTTCAGCTTGTCCACGTTTGTGGCATTTTTTAGCTTCTCCTCATCCAAGAGTCGTTCTCTACGTTGTTCTTCTATTGATTCTAGAAATTTGTTTATTTCGAATGTTCAAATCTACTTCTCGAGCTGCGTGTTTGTTCACTTATTCAGGTTATTATGCAATTTTTGATTTAGAGAAATCGCATAATATCACTTGATTAGCTAATTGAAGTTTCAAAATTGATTATCAGCAAAGCTCTGAATTCGCGAATACTTACTGCTATAAGGGGTATATTTGTCGGATAAAATATTTTCCAAGTTGTAGCCGATAACGCCGACAATTCCAGCAAATGGCAAGGTAATATATGGAGCGTATGTCCGTAAAAAGGCGTAAAAAATCGGTAACATTTCGCTATATAATTATATTTTATTCACTTGCACGTTATTTCATAATTAATTTTTATTTGTTATGAATGTTATGTGACTTTTCGGTTGGAACAACATTGACTTTGGGTTATGTGCCGATTTCTTCTTCGCGGTTTTCGTTGCCAGATTGTGCGTTTGTACATGAATATGTGGCGGACTCTATCAGCCACTTCTCAAGTAGCAGCTCCAACAAAAACGCAGGTTTTATCTCACCCACTAACATCTGCGGCATTTCGATTCAAATAGAACATCCAATCTATGTACAGCATTCGGCGTCTAAGGCAGGGCTTACCTAAGCATTACCTGACGAGTCCAATAGGTAGGCCCAGGACGAAACGCATGGTACTTCAACGCGCGACATAAATATTAACGTTTAACCGCTGTGTATTTAATTTAGAATTTTTTTTCTTATATATGTGGCTGTCTAAATTTTTGCTTTGTTTTTGTCTTTTTTTTTGCTGTTGCTTTCCTCTCATTTTTTATGCTTAAATGTTACTTAAACAACTTTTTGTGTTGTAGGTAAAATTATGAGCGGATTCCAAAGCTATCAAATTTTAACAAAATGAGCTTTAAGAAAAAAATTCATAAAACCTTGTTTTGGTAAATTTTACCCCTTTCTTGGGGAATTCAATTTGTCACTTTTTGCTTATACTTTCTTAATTTTGTTCTAAATCACTGGTCTTAAAAAAACCAATGAACTGTATACAAGTACTTGGTATAGAGTTCATTGTAAAAACATTAGCAGAACACCAAATTTTGCAAGTTTTTTATTTTGTTACATTTTTTTAATAACAACCGCTAAAAACACTTGTATCTTAACTAAAATTTATAATTTTTCATGAAAAAATTCAAATTTGTATGCAATATATATCCACTCGGCGATACTTTTAACTGATATAATTCAAAAATGATTTTATATACTGCCGGTTTTACATATACGGTCTGGAACACATATACGTCGAACAACGGAAATTAAGGAAAAACATAGTCTATTCTATTGGGTTTTTTCTGGGCAAATAATTACGCGTTAATAGAAATTTCATTTTGTGTACTAAGACATACCGAGTGTTTAAACCTAAATGCAACCATAAATTTTTTTTTACATAAGTTGCTATCTATAGCAATATATAGTACTTTTTACATTCATAGCTCTAATTATTGTATCCAAACTAACTTTATAGATAATTTAATATATATTTAAGCTGTTCACATAGTTTCACACATGCCTTCACTTAAATGTTTCGTATCGTCTAAAGCTGCAAATTAGATCAGTTACTCAAATAAATACACTCAACACTTTGGCGCTTCTTAGGTTTGTTAGCTTTTTAAAAGAGCTTCATTTTGCTGACGAATTCGCTTCAAACGATGGCCGCAGTAGATCTTTAGCAGCACACTGAAGAAGATAAGGAACAGTCCCAAACCGCCTAGAAGATGGACATTGTGATGATAAATAATGCAGCTAAGCAGGACTGAAAAGCATTGTCGGATGGTGCTGATTATTACGAATACCAGAGGTCCAAATGTGTCGATAGTGTTGAAAATGAACATTTGCCCAGCTGCTGAGCATACGGACAAAGTGATTATATCTACGGTGAATTGGGGATATGTGAACATGAATGAAGCGGACTTGAACAGGCCTCCATGCTGCACGAGCGAAGTGAGAGTGAATATGCAGGAGAAGAAATTGACGAAGCACATCATCTGTATGGGTTTTACCTCGTAGGCTTTGAAGAGTTTTCCCTGCCAGTTGGCAGTGAAACTATCGAAGCCTATGTATAAGCATAGAAGAAAAACTCCACTAAAGGCCGTGGAAGAGTTGCTAGTTTTATCCGTTCCAGTGTCCAACAAGAAAAACAGCATTCCAAAGGACAAAATCACCGCAGTCACATATTCGTAAAATTCGTATTTGGTTTTTGAGACGACTTTGCCCATTATCATCACAGGGATTGTTTTACTGGCCTTTGCAAGCACCTGGCAAGGAAACGACACGAACTTTAGGGCCTCGTACTGGCACCAGGAGCTCATAATGTTGGAAAGTGAGCAGAAAACGTACTTATACATCGGACACCGATGTCTCGGTTGTCGGGTGCAAAATATCACAACCGCTGACATGGAAAACGCTAAAATGCGGTTTACAAACACTAAAAACTGCGAGTCTTTAAAGTAAGCGATTTCATTCGATGGAGACACGTATTTTTGGGTCATGATTTTCTCCTGAAGCACTCCCCACGAGAGATACGATACTTGAAGCCCAAAGAAGTAGAATATCAGCAGTAAGCTGTTTTGCAATGGAGTCCTGGTTCCTTTGATCGTAACTCCTGAAGAATTCAACAAAGGCAGCTCATCTTCACCAAAACAAGTGCGGATAACTGCTCCAATTGGGCCACGTCCACTAACATTCAAATAGTTCGTTTTCTTGATGTAGACAAACACTAAATAGCCCGGCAGGAATACGGTGGCATATCCCAATATATTTCGGGCTCCATCCACAATCCAGGCGGAGTCCTTCGGAAGGTCTTGTAGCACATCCCAGTTTAATACCAGCAAGTTGAGCACATATAACGTCAGAATTCCTACTATGTTGATTGCGAATATTACCAGTTCAATGCTACGTGCCATGACTAGAGGCACATATATAGCCTATATAATAGTGAGTAGTCTGTGACTAGAGGATAAAATTGGGATTCGAATAAATCATCATCAACAAATGCATTCGAGTTTGTTTGGATTTTAAATGTAAAAAAAAAGAAATTTAGGGTTACAAAGCTATGCAACTTGTCATGAAGAAGGATAGATTTTATTGTCTCTCTCGGACATTGGACGTGCTGTCATTGATTTTCTCGCTAGCAAGTTTCTTGTAACTGTTTTAAAACAATAAAAGTATTTTTATAAAGGTTTCGAAGTGTTTTTCGCTTAAACAGTTCATTTTTACTTAAAGCAGAAACATAAAGGACTTTTTTAAATTTATTTAATCTATGGGTGAAAGCAATACAATGTTTGTAAAATTCCAAAACTTTGTCAATTAGGTTTGTTGTTTTTATCATTGCGTAAACCCCGACCAACAGTGTTTTACAGATCGTCCACATTCACTGATTAAAAATTGAAACTACAATCGACTACTACACAGAATTTAGGCAATGGTTTGAAATTCAAACGTGTAAGATTTTGTACAGTTTAATAAATGTTGTTACCTTTAAGAGCTCCTGATTAGTTCAGGAAAAGGTCATTGTTTTCAAAAGAACATGCAATATTTGCCAGCGCATCACTGCTTGGGCCTTCGCCCTGTCCACTCCCTATATTGTTCACATTTCGCACTCTCCTTATCCCCCTTAATCATTCTGTCCCTCCCGCGGCTGTTTTTGTGAGATGCTGCATATCTAGCTGAGCCTGTGCAATATCACTAAGGGCCAGTTGGACTTTTTCCAGCAGCTCCTGGCCTGACCGTACTATTGCATCCAGCCGGTCAGCTGCGTCCTGGTTTTCTTGTTCCAACTGCCGTAAGCTCGATAACTGAAAATCCCCAATACCGACGGTAGTTTCAACAGACTTTAGCTAAATGTTACGCAAATACCTGCGATTCTGTGGAATTCTCTTCACTGGGCAGCGACTCAATAAGCGTGTCGATGTCTTTAGCACATCGGGAAATAAGGGTGGTGAACAGTTGAACATAGTCTTCCTGGAAACGCCCCATTTTGGTAAAGTTTTGACGGGTTCTTCCGTCCCTACCTGAGTTTGCTGTTGGGGTGTTTGTGATCCACTGCGGTCAAAATTAGGGAACTTGCTGGGGGGCGCAAATTGTTGAAGAATCCCAATGCTATTGCAAAAGTGCTCGGCCTGCTGCAATTGAAAGAAAAATCTAAAATTTGTTAAAATTGCCAAACAAATAAGAAAACAAACCTGATTAATACAATCTTGCAATTGGGTCAGTCGATCAGCCATATTAATAGATGAAGAATGGACAATTTGGTATAAATATTCTTTACAGATTTTCGCTAGTTTGCCGAAACTTGCGTTTGATGTTTTCTTTTCCAGAGCCAGTATTAAATAGGTTAGGTCTGGAATAGTCTAGACGGTGCCCATATCTTTTACAAGCGAGGATCTTGACAGCTTTGGCCACAGAACATCTCTGAACCTGGCTTTGGCGTCGGTGAAAATTTAGCGCCATGAAGTATTTTTGTAAAATAAAGCTGTCAACATTCTTAGATGCAAAAATATCTGTGCTACCGCTAGACGCTATTTTTTTTTTGGGTGTTGTGCTATGGTGCTATGTTGTCCCTCCTGTTTTTCCCAGATATTCCTTTCTTATCTTTCTCGCTCCCGTGGCAGGACTAGAACAGGACTTTGACTAAAACCCTTTTTAGCTAATGGTACTCAATGCTCAAGGATTACTTTCTGGAATAGCGTTAATTTTTGAAAATTAAATTTCTGAAACTAGAGAAATAGTTTTTTTTGTCCATTTCGGCAACGCTGTGTTCCCAGATGGGTACGTGGTAATCAATAAAAGCTTTTCCTATTTTGTTGCTACGAAAACAACCCTAAAGCTACTAAAATAGTCGTCGTTGTTGTTTACAATTTAGCTTTTAAATTTTTTGTCTCCCCAGCATTGTTTCATTAGTTTTATCGATGCAAAATTACCTGTATGAATTTGGATTTGAGCTTGACCATTCAGCAATCCCTTCACAGTCAGCTTTTCCCTGACATAAATCGAGGTTAGGGTACATATCTTCCATAAAGCTCTTGAAATTATTTAAATAATTCAATATTCCCAGTCAAAAATAAACATTTTCTGACTTGTAATCGCATTATCCAATGTTCCTCTTCACTTCCGGAATGATATTTTCCTCAAATTAAAATGCTGACCCTCCATAAGTTCGATCCCAGTTGACCTATTGTTTATATGTTGTTATTTCTTCATTTACGTTTAGAAACGAGGTAAGAACTTCCCCTATCTATAAGGTGTTTTTGGTATTAAACTGGTTTTCTTTTTTTTACAGATATGAACGGAATGAACCACCGGGCGCACAGTGTTTCGGCTCCAGAAAAAGTGGAAAAACCGAAAAACTACAAGCTTCTAGTGGACCCATTTCTGGTCAAAGGCGCTACCAACAAAAGGATAATTCGATATGATGGGATTGTTCCTGCTGATAGTCCTTATCCGCCAGTTACCCTGAGGGACCCTCGGTCTCGGTCACATTTGACAAGACTATGGACTCGGTTGGAGGCACTAGACCTACCTGTACCGCGGTAAGAAAGCTGTTTTTGTTAACCTGAAAATCATAAAACCCTTTAATATCGAACGAAAAAGCAAAAGGGACACTTCATAACTTACTACCTGGCATTTCAGTTTAATGGTGTTATTTATTAAATTGGCTGAAAAATTAATTTTTGGTAGAAAAAAAAGCGTTCTGGGATAAGCACAAGTCGAAAGGGAAACCTTCACAAAACTGAACACTTGAAGCTGGGTTCTTTCTAACCTAACCTTGCGATGTATGTAATATTTTTTTTTGGAACTCATATCGTCATTTCTGTAAACACTGGCATTGTGTGTAATCGTAAAGTGCTGGGCCTTATTTAACACTGAAAGAAAAAACAAAAAAAAAACAGAAATAAAATATTGCGCAATTTCGGCTTAAAGAAACATGCAAATCGATTGCTTGACTTGGAGGCTAAAACGTGCCCCGAAGCCAACCTTTTCTAAAAGAGAACTCGGGTGAAAATGCAAATTGCACTTTCTCGATGAATGTGTCTTATCGCACAACATATACGTATAACCTTAAAATAATAATGGGGCCCCATTTACCTAAAACTATGCTAATAACTACCAGTTTGCAAACGTTTGCCGATTGCGAAAGTAAAAATTGGTCAGTTTTGCAAGAAATATTACCAAAAGCGAAAAAAATTCGATAAAAGTACGACGTGGATTTCGAATGTCAAGCGCTGACGTCAGGCCGATGTTACCAGGTTAATTCCAATTGATTTCAGCCTGGTAATCTCGTTTACAAGGGCGATTTAATTTTATGTCTCGCTTACAAGGGCGATTTGAGAAATGCCATGGATTACAAGGGAATATTGAAAAGTTTTCGTTTAATATTCTTTTCGTGTTGAAAGACGGGACAACATGTGGATGATTTGATGTAATTTTCAATTTATTATTGTTGTCAGTTCTGCAACTTTTTGAAAAAGTATCTATTTTTATGTGTAGCTTTTAGGACAACTTGGAAAAATTAATGACAAAATAAACTTTGTAAACTTTCGAAGGAATTTCAAAAAATTCATGAGCAGTCTACTGGTTGGTTTTAGAATTTTGATATTGTCAGCTAGTTAATCCTTGATCGGCCAAAGGCTTTCGATCGCCTTTCAACAACGCTGCAACTTACGCAGGATTTTTCTTTCAGCTTTAAAATCGATAATCACTATGTGGGAGAGCCACCCTCCATCGAAGTGACCATTTTTCATCTAAACGACAATATTGACAAACAATTTTTGAAAGATATTGTTCAAAAATTCGGGGTAATTGAGGAACTGTTTATCTATTATCATCCAGTGACTAACAAACATTTAGGTGAGTGAATTTGTTTAATAATTTTTCCGAATTTAGTCGCCAAATTCTGCTAAAAACAACGACTAGACCTGGCAATTCGTCTTAATTTTCTATATATATATAGAGGGTGTCTCATAAGTGATATACAGCGTCAATATTGTGAGATAACGTTTCTTCTTCTTCAGTAAGATGCGATTCTAGAGATTTAAACAATGAAAAACGTTTATTGACAAATCGACTAAAAAACAAAATAGTACATACAACACATTCAACAATGGTAAAAAACAATACAAAACAGCACAAAATAAATCGCAAAAGTTTTCAAGTAAAAAAGTGCTTTTGCTTCAACTTTTTAAGATGGACCGTTTTGGTAATATTTCCAGTTTTCTGACTGTAAAATAGACAAATTGCTCTCTATTCAGAAACGTTTGAATAATTTTATACAAAATTACGCAAAAGCGATTTTTCGCGTCTTTCAAGCACGCTTGAAAATCACCTGCGAGTTTTACAAAATGTAGCAAAAAATACCACAAAAGATGGACGAATTTGATTTCAAGAAGAAAACCTGCATCAAAAAATAAAATCGAAGACGCTGTATCACATTTTTGAGCCGATATGCATGCAAACATTAATTCTGTTGTGAATTTATTCGGGCAGGTATAGGTAGGGTTGTCTATGAAGATGTAAAATCGGCAAAACTATGTGTGGAAAAACTGAACAATACCAGTGTAATGGGGAAGATTTTGGAAGTGTTCTTGGACGCTTTCGGCCAGAAATGCAAAGAACGGTTCGAGGAAATCACAACTGAAAAAAAGCCTGTACCTGTTGTTGTGGTGGAAGAACCGCCCAAGAAAGAGAGTGTTGAAAAACCAAAGGAAGATGACGACAGGTTGGCGTTTTTGGTTAAATGCAATCGTGTTGCCAAGTGGGATTTTTTAGGCTGCCTTATGATCCTGGGGATAATAATTTCGATGACCGGCTGAAGTATAAGTCGAAGTCTAAAGACAAGCGCCATCCTAAGAAGGATGGTTACTTGGACGAATATTCCAGCGGGTCGAAAAAAAACCGGAATAGGGATAGGGATAGGGATAGAGCACATGAGCGCGACAGATATGGCTCATCTAGGAGCTACAGGTGAATTAGCGATTTCGGCAAACTATGAAGCATTTGAAAACTATTTTTTCAGAGAGTTTGCAACGCCGACCAGCTCGGATCTGGGCTATGGAACTCCTAGTGAATTTTCTGCAAGTTTTGGATCAACCGGCACCACACCGTTATCGTGAGTTGCAACATTGCAACCCAAAACTAATTTTTAACACTTTGTTCCACTTTTTAGTTACGATTTTCATGCACTGGCCGTTTCCGCGCCCATGCCCCCCTCGACAGCTGCATTTTCATTCGCAGCTCCCGCTCCATATTCAACTCATTTAGCCCCCCCACCTGCGCCTTGGCCCATTGCTCAGCCTCAATGGCCAATAGCAGACCAATGGGACTGTTCCGCTTCCACACCATCGAAATGGACCGGCAGCGACAGCAAAAAAGAAAAAATTAAAGACCGGTAAGAATTTTTTTTCGGGGAAAACCTAGCTTTAGTCGCATGTTTTGCTTGCTCTCGGTGGGCAGCAGAATACGAGCCGTAACATCTATAAAATTATAAATAAAATATATTTTTGTTTCTTGAATGATGAATTAATTCAACAAAATTACTGACAAATAAATATTCGGACGCACCTTAATGCAACTGTCACCGATTTTCAACCCCTTTTAAATACAGGGTGGGCAATTCTTTAAATGTGATTTATTTTTGCTTTGATCTTCTTAGAGGATCGAATGTCTAATGGACTTGACACGCTTCATCGCAAACTTGGTTCTTGACAAAATTTTATGGGCAACTTTTGAGCCTCTTAAGCTATAAATCCTGGTTGCGTGATAAATAATTGTGGGAATACATTGTGTTTTAGTGAGAGAGACAAAGACAGACCAAAGGAAAAAGATCGGGATAAAGATAGGGACAAAGATAGGGACAGGAAAAGCAAACATCACAGAAGCAAAAGAGAACGAGACAGGGAAAGGGAGGAAGCAAAAGTGACAAAAGAAAAGGTAACAGATTTCGGTTGCTTTCAAGTTATTTGGTAGGATATTGTAGAATTTAGGAGCCAAATAAGGATGCATTTTTGTGTCAAATTCCAATCCGTACCGATCTTTGCAGGTTGAAGAAGACAAGCCACTAGACTTAGACACGAGAATCGCGCTATTATTCAAGGATAAAGCTGGAGGTATGGCGCCACCCTTTCTATCGCTGGGCGTCGATTCTGATGATGAAACCGGAGGCAGCAAAGCTAAAGAACTGTCCAATGACCTCTTGAACTTGCCGAAACCACTGCCCTTACCCACTTCGCTGGACAGTGACGATGGTAAGACATTTTACCCAAACATGGACCATCTGCTGACAAGTCTGTTGCGTCCAGATCGTTCCAGCATATCACTGAGTGATATGCCAATTAATCCAATGGCACCGGCCGCTGATTTCCAACCCGAAGAAGAAGACCTGCCCTTGTCGACGCCGCCTTCGCCCTTCTTGTCTTTGGAAATCTATCGGGAATGTCACAAGCTTTCCCTGGAGCAGGCAAGTGTATTTTGCACTGCATGGTAAAGCGAGAAAAAATCACAGTGTAACTTCCTTTCAGGCTGTTATGGCAAGACAGAAAGATGCCCTGGAAACCACCGCGCTGGTAAAGAAGGCACAACAAATGAATAAACTGGGCAGTGATATTTCGTCGAGTGAAGACGAATTGCTGACCGGAGAGAAGAACTACAGTCCTATTGATAAGAGGGATTTTAAGAACGAATTTAAATTCGACAAAGACGATGATAGGATGAGCATGTCCAGCTTGAGTAGTACAGAAGGTGCTAAAATCGATGAGGTAAGCATCAAATTCAGGAAAAAGCTCATTAAAGACAAGACCATTTTCCAGAGCAAACCTGATGTGCCCTTGCAGCCACCACTACCTGCCGAGCCTGATTATTCGCATTCAGTAACTGGAATGACTAATGTGTATAGCACAGCTTATCCTTCGTATGCCAGTAAGTATCCTCCCAATACCAAACACTAGTTATTTCTACTAAACTCTGATGTGGTTTTCTTGTTTCAAAAGCTCTAATCGGGCGATTTCCTCGTAAGTACCCAAATCCACCCTCAAAACCCTTGGGGGCGTTTACAATAAAATTCGTCTTTGTTTAGGCTACCCAGGCACTGCCCCAAACTTTGCGTACCCGCCCCCTCACGGGCCGCACTTGGCCTTTGCGCCCGATTGGCAGGCGTTTCCCTATGGGCCTTCGCCGCATCCGCCGTCTTACCCTTACGGCTCTTACTACCCTGCTTTACACCCGGCGGTAGCGGCAGCGGCACCATTTGGATTCGCTTATCAGGCAGTACCAGGCGGCGCAATTTCGGGTACTCCTGCTGGACTGATGGACGGCAACGTTCCGCACGCTCCCACCATTAATGGGGTTGTGGAGAAAATCACTTTAGAGCTAAAAACCATCCTGAAACGGGACTTCAACAAGAAGATGGTGGAAGTCACCGCGTATAAGCGGTTCGAAAATTGGTAAGTACATGATTAGGGTGTGAATTCCGACGGTTTCAGGGTGGTTTTGTAGGTGGGAGGACGAGACGTCGAAGCTCAATCGCATGAAAGGCAAGGAGGATCTTGAGAAGTCGGCCTTGACGAAAGACAACATCAATGCGCTTTTGGATCAGAGCAATGACTCCTATAATTACGACAATGTTGGTAAGTGGTTGATTTCATACAGGGTATCGCACCGGAACACCGCGATTGATACTGCTACACCCGGAAGTGTGGCCATCTTCCAAATGTTTTAGATCGCTTGCCCCCCATGACTTCGGTATACTGTCTAATTTTCAAATGTCTCTTAATTATTTTTTACAAACTTCTTTTTGGGTATTTCGCCTCAAAAATTTTTGTCTTTAAAAAAGACAGAATTTCCTCACGTCTTTTATTACAGATTGA